GTGCATGGCGTAATTTGCAGCTTCACCTTCCTGTGTTACACTGCACGGGGGGTGTTGATGCACAATAGTAGTCTTAGTATTGCTGTTCTCACCCATCTTACCGCGTTGCATTGGCTCAAGAAATGCTGCGCAGGGCGTACTGGTAATTAGTGGCTAATCCCGGTTTATCTGTTGTTTCTACAGATGGATAGATAGATTGATAGATTGATAGATAGATAGGTAGATAGGTGGATAGGTAGATAGGTAGATAGGTAATTAGATGAAAGAGAGAAAGAGAGAGATAGATAGATCGATAGATAGATAGATACATAGAAGATAGGCTGGTAGGTAGATAGTCAGAGAAAGAGAGAGACAGAGAGGAGACCTCAAGCACCTTTCGGTCCATCAGTGGATTCGCTTTGCCATCCCTGATTCGCAACAACCAACCTCTCCTATAGGTTTCCTATTTTTGAAACTTCCGCCACCGCCTTGTGCGGTACTACTGGTAAATTATAAATGAAACCCGAAATGAAGCCCTAGATGAAACCCTACATGACACCCTAAAGAAAGCCTAAATGAAACCCTACATGAAGCCCTGAAGAAACCCTGAAGAAACCCTCAATGAAACCCTACATGAAACCCTACAGAAACCCTGAAGAAACCCTAAATGAAACCCTACATGAAACCCTCAATGAAACCCTAAAGGAAACCCTAAAGAAACCCTAAATGAAACCCTAAAGAAACCCTAAATGAAACCCTAAATGAAACCCGAAAGAAACCCTAAAAACATCCTCATGACCGTTTTAACATCCTGATAAGAAATCCTGATAAGAAACCCTACATGAAACCCTAAAGAAACCCTAAATGAAACCCTAAACCTAAAGAAACCTTAAATGAAACCCTAAATGAAACCCTAAATGAAACCCTAAAGAAACCCTAAATGAATCCCTACATGAAACCCTAAAGAAACTCTCAAGAAACCCACATGAACGTTTGAAGTACCAACATGTAGCAAATACCATGCAAATGAGAGGTTGAAGCGCACAAAATTGGCAAATACCATGCAAAATGCAAAGTGACCATGCCAAAATGTAGCAAAGACCATGCAAAATGCAAAGTGACCATGCCAAAATGTAGCAAATACTATGCAAAATGACAGATTCTAGTTCCAAACTGTTGCAAATACAAGGCAAATGGCACCAGGAAAGAAAACCAAACAAAAATCCAAAACCTGAGAAAAAAATGATCCGAAAACTATTCAGCACCCGATGGATATGGATTGGTGCATCAACACTGCAGCAACAACTGTACATGCGCCAAGTTTGATTTCACCGTTGGTTGAGAATCGCATCCTGCTATTTTGATTCAGTGTGCCACTCCCAGTGAACAAGACGCAATTCAACAGCCGCGTGACTGGCACGGAAGGTTTCCGTGGCCGGAGGTCTCTTTGGCAGCAGCAAAAGCTGCTGGGTTGCTCCTAGTTTGAGGGCTGGCCCCGGAGTTGAGTTTGTCAGGAGATGGAGATGTGAACCCTGCGGCGCTCATCCCGAGTTCTCCAATGGCCAAAGATGCCAAGATGATGCCAAGATGATGCCAGAAAACTGGAGGATTCCGTCAGCGCGTGGTTGTTCATTAACATATTTAGAGACGGGTAGTAGGAACCGGATACGGCAAATGAGCAACTGCCTTGCTAGTGATTTCAGTTTCTTGTCGGGGAATGCAGTTTGGGGGGATATCCCTGGAGCCAGCTACCTGGATTCAGCTGACTGTCGTCGAACGCTGCTTCAATGGCCGTTTCTTGAGTTTGTCGCTACTGATGTTGGCTCGCTTTCATTGTTGCACAGTCCCCATCCTGCAGTAATGTCAGAGTCGCAGCAATGTCATCCCTGCCACCTTCCCATGAACTAAGGGCCAGTATCAGCAGCAAGGCTGGGGGCGTGACTGGCTGCCAGTACTGTGGGCTGAAGTCATTCCACCCTAGCCGGCCTCTCAAAAGAGGAAAGAAGAGGGGGAAAGTTCTTCAGCCCAGCTCACTTGATCTCAATCAACCCATCACCTACCAAATGCACTTTGTGGAACACCAACATTTTACGAAAAAATCACTGGACCTCTGTGAGCAGCACAAAAACCAGCCAACAGCGTGTCCCTGCAGGCTGTGCCGGCTGTGGAGGCTGTCCTGGCTGTGGAGGCTGTGCTGGCTGTGGAGGCTGCGCAGGCTTTGGGATGGACATGAGTGGCGGGCTCAGAACAACTTTTGAAGATAGGAAGGATCATGCAACATGCAAGGCACACATCGAATCCCTCCAATCTCGCTGGTGGTTTGGCGGCTTCATTTAGTGGCCTCCGGCAATCCCGCCGGCATCCTCCCACCCGAAGGGCCAAGCTGCCATAAGCTGCCTATGTTTCTGAGGCCAAGCCGGTGTAAATGCTGCTTGGTGTGAAGGCTTGATGTTAAAATTTGTTGGTGTGAAAACCGGTTGGTTTAAAAACTTCTTGGTGACGCGGCGGAGCGTGAGGTCATGGAGCAGTGCAATGGAGGCAAAAACGTTGCGGCAACATGCTACGAAAACCAAGGAACCTTGCAGCAAAACGCAGGCCATAAGGATAGGATGAGGACACAAGCTACGAGGACGAGGTGGACAGCACAGAACAGACATAACAAGCAACATGTTTCCATTCACACGCCGGCAAGGCAGGCGGATTTTCCACCCCCAAAAAACATGAAAACAGACCGTGGCCACACCAAATCGCAACAATCCTTGTTTGAAGTCTGAGCATATAATATAACATGATATAGCCTTTAAAACTTATCAGCATATATCAGCAATCATGGTTCATGATTGGGTTTGCTTCATTATTTGGGCCATTGGGACGGTGATCTAAATGGGTTTGTCTGAAAATAGGAAGCACCGAAATCAACTGGTTCAGCCGCTTGAGGTGGCCAGCAGATGATGGGGCAGGTGCAGTATTGGTTCTGTGTGGGGAGGCGGTCCCTTTGGGGAGACACAAAAAAAGTGATTTGTGTTTTGGGGGCCCAAAACCTTGGGAGAAACCCATTGTTTTCTGCTGGAGGCTGTTTTTTGAAAACATCAACTGTGAAAGCGGGCGATGAGCGTACTCGTTTCCAGGGGTCGAATGTCACTTTGGCTTGGACTTGGAAGGAGCATAAGGTCAAGTGACTTCAGACTTTAGTTATCTTTTCCGAAAATCAGTGCCTTGTCTGGATTGGAAGACATGGAACATTTTCCATGTCTTTCTCCTAATTGTAGCGATCTTCAGATCTTCCCTTCTATTCAAATCCCATGACGAAGTTTCGGAAGTTTCGGGCCCAGGATGCTGGTAAACCAGGTGTCCTAGGCCAGTTGATCTCCAGGCTTATGGCGCCATGCCACAAATGACGCAGATGCAGAGGTGGGTGATGCAGTCTCCCAGCCTTGGATTTGTCGGTAGTAAGGGAGTATATAAAGCCAACTGCTAGCTACTGTAGCCGCCTTTTGAAATCAAACCTGTCTATTGAAGTCAATGAACATGACCATACATCACCCATATTTCATTTTTTTTACATCGCCAAGTAGATTTACAAATAGCTAGCCGCAGCAGCCAGTGTGCTTGGCCAGGCCGGGTCCTTATTGAGGGTCCGGAAGCGCTGATTTCGGGTCGACCGACGGGGTGGGGTCCAGGGCTGGGTGCAATGACATGCAATGACTCTGGGTTCGTATATGACAAATGGTTGGTTCGAGTATGTTCGAGTGGATCCTGTTTTCTTGATCCTCTGTGTGATTCATGGTTTGGAACAGCTTGGAACACCTTTCCCGTCACATCCCGCGATGACAAGCGAGCAGGATCCCATAGGATCCCACTCCGCCACGATCACGTTCTCACCTGCTCCGCAGCACTGTGGTGTGCGTGCGGAGTAGCCTGGCATCGGCATCGGCATCACGAGGCATCCAGAGTTTCAGATTGGATATAATCTGGATATAATCTGGATATACATGGTTGATCATGGTTGATACGGTTGGGAATGTCCATGAATGTCCTCCCAAATCCTCCTCATCTCAGCGGTGCGCCATGGTATCATTTCACATCCCACGTTGAAAAAAAGTTGAAGTCACACCGCGGAACACCCGAACGAGAAAGAGCTTATTTTGCCGGCGATCAGTCGCGGGCACGGCATCTGAATGGCGGAAAATGCGTGAGTGGTTGGGAAATTGTCATGTCTTGTTTGTAGAGATCCTGTTGCTGTATGAATTACTGGCTATATCCTCCAACCTGCACTGCCTCCCTTTCAGTCAAAAGAACAATAACATTGTTTTGAATCCAAACTTTGTGAGTGCTCGTGGGAGGGGGGGCAGGGCGTGCCAATAAATCAGTGCTTGATGGGTTTTGCCCAGAACAAAAAAAACATCGAAAAAACAAGATTTGGAAACCCCAAACGGTTCAGCGGTACACCTGTCCATAGCCCTCATCCATGGTGGTCCCATCTTGCAATCTTGCCAGCCAACACCATTGGTCTTTGGTACTCGTAGTCCATCCAAGGCAACCATGAACATGACACGTCTTTTTCCAACCCAGGCAGTCAATTGGAGCAGCCATGTGTCAATCCCCAACTTCAGCCCATGCCCCATATCCACTGACCCTATCATCCCCCAACACTCTGACAATAATTCCAATGCAACACGTATGCCAATGTATGGTTTAAATGCCATGTACTTCTCAGGAGACAAAACTTGAAGTAGAGGCAATGCTATGCACCATCAATTTTCAGGTTGGTTCCGAAAACACGCAGGGATCTGACTGGGAAGATGAGACTCAAACCGCTTTGGTTTGGCTGTATGATGTGAATGGGCAATTTTTTTGGGCCAGGCATGGAGGACTCTGGTGGTTGACAGAAGATTGATGAACATTTACTATTATATAGTTCACATGAATTCTGCGGGTCTTAATTTCGGCCCCCAAACCTGCCACGATCTCGGCTCAGTTTGCCACGAACTTGACATCCTTCGCGCCCGATCACCACAGCCATGGCATCTCGCAGTGTGATGAGGCGGGGATGACCTCAGGTACTCCCCTGGTTTTCAACGGTCTTCACATTTAAATCATGGGAATGAAACACAATGATGTTTATAACACATATTAATACGGATATTATATATGTAATTTATTGTTATCATATATGTCACATGCATCATCGCATGTAAGTAGGATAAAGATCTGTTATGGGTTTATTTGAAAAATGGGGGACGCCCCCCAAACTTGCACTTTCAAGAGGGAACACAGATGTTTTTCACCATGGGGTTAGCAAGGTACCCTCTCATCACTCAAACAAACCCACATTATTGTCAATGGGATTGGTTTAACGGAAAATCGACAGGAAACCATGTTATTTTTTTGCCATGAAATACATAGTTTCCTGTCAATTTATTTTTCCCTTGCACAATCCATTGATATTAATGCGGGCAACCCAATAATAAACAACTCCCATTTGGGAATGGTTTATACCACCCATCAAAATGGTGATGACTTGGGGATGGTTTATGGCATGGGGTTTACCACACTACATGGATTCTTGTTGTTCTTTTGCCAATTTAATTTGGGCCCAAATTCTTATTATTTGCCGACAAACCACCATTCGTGTCTGTTTCCAAGTATCGAACCACACATTATTGTGAATATTTGTGAATAATTGTGGTCATTATTAGTACTATGTAGTACTATTTAGTACTAATTAGTATTATTAGTATATATTAGTATTATTTGGTAGTTACTATCATCATTATTATCATGAAGGCAGTTTCTACCCAGCCTTCCACCTCGCCATGGTAGGTCCCTCACCCGAGCCTTGCGCAGCAGCAGACCGGTGCGCGGTTTCCGTGCGCTGGGCACCAGCCGGGGCCCAAGAGGGTGACCGTCAACACCAGCCAATTTTGAGCATTTCAAATTTTGAGCATTAGCCGCATTAGCCGCATTAGCCATGAGAATTGAGATGACAGATTTTCCGAAAAAAGAACAGCCACAGGACTGAGATGAAGCTCTTTGATGATTTTGGAATATGTCTCATCAAAGATTGATGATTGAGATGTCCCAAAAATGCAAAGACAGTTCATGAATCATTGGATTGGTTTCTCAGGGAAAATCGCAACCAGAGATATTCTTCGTGTTCTGTCCCCGTTTTTCCCATGAAGTATGAATTGTTTCCTGTAAAAAATCCAACATTTTGCATTTTTTCCCGTAATTTCCTGTAAACCAATGGGTAAATCCATAATTTCCATACATTTTGCCAAAATTTCCTGTAGATTTTCCCTTGAACCAATCCAATGAAATACCGCCCCTTAGGGCCCCCGGGCCCTGGAGCGCACAGGTCGGATCCTTTCAGATCGCTCCAAGATTGCGGAAGCGCTGAAGAGCTCCCCGCCCCTCGGTTTCGCATGGGGAAGTCATAGGGATACAATTGGGATATGGTGGATATATAATATATATATATATATAAACATATATATATATTATATATATATTATATATTATATATATATATTAATATATATATATTATATTATATATATATATTAATATATATATATACATAATTAGATATATATATATATATATAGGAATATGAATGGTATTTAAGCAGCAATAAATGGGATATAATTGAGAGACAGTATGATGGGGTTATGGATAGATGATGTTGCCACCTTGTTGCGTCATCTTGAAACATGGAGGTTTCACGAGAAAAAATGAGGGACTTCCACTGGTTCCATGGGGATAGACATGTTTGAACCATGACAAAGTGGGGATGGATGCGATACCAACAAACTTGGGGCCTTTAACCAGAAAAGATGGGGAAAAATTGGACCAACATGAATTTCAGCAGGAACAAAGAGTCCCTCGAATCCGAATCAATTTATTTTTACAAAACAACAGTTGTGGGTAGCCGCAATTTCATCTATATCTGATTGGGGCCCATTGTCGCAGCGAGAGTTGGATGATCATTGAACTCCCCAAGTTAATTATGAAATAGTGGTCATCCAGCAGAATGGTTTAACAAGTTGACAATTGACCCCAAGTTGACAATTGACCATTGACACTTAAAGAATTGTAAAGTTGGTGGTTTCAATTGTCAACCAGCAGAAGCAAAAAACTGCAAAATAGGGTTTGTCTGTGTTCATCGGGTACCTCAATCCACTGGTTTAACACATCATAAATTCTCTGATTTCCACTATTTTCAGACACAACCTTTACCCTCTGGTAATTTAACATTGCTATTGAAAATACCACATTTATAGTGGATTTACCAGAGGGTATTTGATTCTATATAGTTCCAAGTTGGGATTCCAAGTTTCAGCTTCTGTCGTGCTGAGGGCATCCATGAAGCACCAATTCCCAGCAGACTACCACATTTTTGAAGACGCGGCACCTTGGTGTTTGACTCGCCTCCTTCGTCAAGGTTGAACCTGAACCGGGATGCTCAGAACCCCAAAACCGTCCATCATCTTGGATCACATATAAATATTCATATATATATATATATTGAATGTACATATATATATATATATATATACATACACACAAGAATGTATATATATGTATATATATATATACATGTATATGACAAAGATATATAAATAGGTCATCAGCGTTTGACTGGGATATCGCTTTCCGGAGATGGATCAAGATGTGTTCAACAACTACAACAGGCTAACAAGAGGCTAACAACAGGCTAACAACAGGCTAACAACAGGGTTCACAGACGCCACATAGGCAATCATTCTTCTGATTCTGCAAACATATGGCATCTCTTGGGCATAACCATTACGTGTTAGCCATCTGGCGCAAAATAAGTGAGGGGCTTAGGACATAAGCCATGTCTGCATGGTAGCGTGCTCTGGTGTGGCAGCGCGCAAAGGCCAAGCGGCCATCGCCAGGCCGCTGGTGCTGGGCTGGAGGCCCACGAGGGTGCGGCTGCCGTGTTGGGCCTACTGCATCGGGTTGGTCTTTGGGATCCTGATTGTAGAGGGCCTAGGCATTCACTTTGCCGTGCTGGGGGTGATCACACATGGCTTCGATGGAGGACCTGGTGAATGCGATGACGCAGTTGCAGGCACAAGTCCAACAAGCACAGGCCGAGAACAATGTCCTGAAGGAGCGCATGGCGAACTATGAGGCTGCGAATGTGGGTGTGGCCAACGGAGGTGGAGTTGAAGCACGAGAAGTCCTTCAAGCTCTACGAGGGTTGCCAGATGCCATTGCGAAGATGTCCAAGCCGAAGGGGCTCTTCGACCCGAAGGGGCTTGGGAAGCCGCAGACCTTGGGAGAGGACGCGGAGAATAGATTCCGCTTGTGGGCGGTGAAGCTCGAGGACTATGTGTACGGCGTCTATGGTGGGAAGAGCAGAGAAGTCTTGGAGTGGGCAGCAGCCATGGACTCTGAGATCGGTGATAAGGAGATTTCGGACAACTATGGCAACAGTGCTGACCTGCTGGATCAATGGGATGATGTCTACGACTTCAACAACCAGCTCTACAGTGTCTTGCGAGCTACAACAGAAGGAGTTCCTTTTGACGTGGTTGAGAACGTGGTGACTGGAGCCGGACTGGATGCTTGGAGGAGCCTTCACAAGAGGTTTGACCCGGCCACGGGTAGCAGAAAACGGGTGATGCTGCACGCCTTGACGAACCCCGAGCGTGCAAGCTATGAGACGCTCCAGAGTGCCCTTGAGCGTTGGAAGGCACTCAAGCTGAGGTATGACAAGAAGAAGGACCAGTTCGGGGCAAGGGAACCGTTGCCGGAGTCGTTGGTTATGAACTCTTTGGAGAAGCTGGTTCCAAAAGATCTTGAACAACATCTACTTCTCAACTATGCAAGGTTCAAGACGTTCGAGGAGATGGAATTGGAAGTAGTCAATTTCATAGAAGCCAAGACAGGGAACCGTCTGAACATCAGCACCAACTTCGCCAAGGCTGGTGGCAGCTCTTCGTCCGCCATTCCCATGGACGTGGACTCTTTGGTTCGAGTAGTACAAGGTTCCATCAGCTCTCTGGCACAGACGAAGGGTGGTGGCAAGAGCAAATCAGGGGGATCCAACAAGATCAACCCTCGATTTGAGGGTACCTGCAACAACTGCGGGAAGCCGGGTTACAAGCAACGTGACTGTTGGTCCAAACCTTCATCAGGGGGAAAAGGTCAACCTTCTACGTCACGGTCGGCGAGTTCGAGCCCGAAGAAAGAGGTCAAGTTCGCCGGAAAATGCAACAACTGCGGGAAGGTTGGACATAAGAAGGCTGACTGTTGGGCTCCTGGTGGAAAAGGGAAGAGCAATGGAAAGGGCAAGGAACAGAAACCAAAGGCAGCTTCGTCTTTGGAAAGCCATCCAGAGCCTGAGCCGGCATCAGCAAGTGGTCTGGAACTATGCTCGGTGGAGTTGGCAACGCTCACATTGGTTCATCCAGAAGAAGAAGACCCAGGACAGAGGAGACCACGGAGTCCGCTGAGGCTTCCGGGCACTATGAGGAGGACGAGATCTACGTCACCTTCTTCGAGGAGATCCATTGTGGAGAGGCCTTTTAGAGATGATGCATCAAGGTCGAGAACTACATCAAGGAGATCGAGAAGGTCCCAGACTTCAAGGCAGTCACGGTCGAGATCGGTGAGGTGGAGCGACGAGCGCAATGAGTTCGTCTATGTGACCCCAGATGCAGAGCAAGAAGAATCTTGGGATTTTCCTGAAGAACAACATGGTGAACTTCCTGAAGTACCTCATGAAGAACCTGCAGCAGAAGGAGCTCGAGACCGGAGTCACTCTGAAGTTTCGTCTTTGGCTCCTGGAGAACCACACTGGATTTGCTGCAACCTGGACACCGGTGCTTCAGTGACGGTGTTCCCCAAGCGCTTTTTCGAGACCCTGGAGCCTACATCCATGAGGTTGAGGACGGCATCGGGAGAGGTGGTTCAGGGCTATGGCAAGGCAGCCATTCGAGGAGAAGACACCACTGGCATCAAGCGGAAGCTCAACGGCAATGTGGCGGATGTTCACAAGGTGCTCATCAGCGCTGGTCAGATGCATGAGAAGGGCTTCACTTCGTGGCTTGGGCAAGGTGGTGGTGAGATTATCCCGAAGAACCACCCTGTGAACAAGGCATTGGAAGAGGCATACCACAAAGCAGTGGCAAGACATGGGAAGGACGGGATCATACCTGTTTTGGAAGAGGATGGAGTTTACAACTTCTACCTGAAGGAGGACATTCCAGTGGAAGGGGCTGTATCACCAAGGTCGCCTACGGGACCACCAGTTCAGAGAAGTTCTGTGGGTGGGACATCGGTGACTCATGAGGTGGTGCAGATCCCAAGGAGGTCAACTACGTCATCGCCGACAAGTTCAACAAGATTGGCATGTGCAATTGAAGAAGAGGTGGAACTACAGGATGGAGAAGGAGAGCAATTCTCTGAAGGAGTTGAGGCTCGACCCGCACGTCCTGGCTGGGATCCGGCAGTTCCAACGGAGGAGGAGAAGAAAGAACATGAGGCCTCGGGGCATGCGGTGTTCCGCAACTGGTGCCCTGAATGCTTGGCCGCTACAGGTTATGCAAAGCAGCACCGCAAGGTGGATCACTCTCAGGAGACTATGAACACCGTGGTGATGGACTTCTTCTACTTGGGCGAGGAAGAGGGCAGCAAGCCACATCTTGTTGCTCAAGACAGATCGACAGGGATGATGATGGCAACAGCTTTGGAAAAGAAAGGGAACCCAGATACCACTGCGCAGAAACTCCTGACCAGGTTCCTGGAGCTGCTTGGATGGAAGAACATCATCCTGAAGTCTGACGGTGAGCACACCTTGGTCAAGTTGAAGAAGGCCGCAGGGAGAGATGCGCAGACCGTGAGCAAGGTGGTTTGCGAAGAGTCTCCAGCCGGAGATTCAAAGGCGAACGGAGAAGCAGAAGCAGCAGTGCGGGAGATCAAATGGCGCATCAGGGCCATTACTATGATGGTTGAAAAGAAGTTCGGTGGCACTTTGCCAGAAGGACACCCGCTGCTGACTTGGGTGCCGCGCTATGCGGCAGAACAGGCCAACAGACACAGAGTTGGCGCTGATGGCAAGACGCCGGAAGAGCGGCGAACAGGCAAGAAATGGGTGAAAGCCCTTCCAGTTTTTGGCGAAAAGATCATGGTGAAGCCTGCTGGAAAAGGGCGTCGAGGAGATTTGACGAGGATGAGAGAAGCCCGATTTGTTGGGTGTCACAACAGGTTTGGCAGCATTTTGGCCATGACCAAAGATGGAGTTGTGGTTGGAAGCTCTTACCACGCTTTGAGTGAGGATCAGAAGTGGGGAGAGCTGGAAGATGACCTACGTGGAGCACCTTGGGATGTCAGGGCATATGTGAGGAGGAGACCGGTTGAGCAGCAACAGCAGTTGGCTTTGCCTGCACCCATGCCGGTAGTTGCTGGAGCTCCCCATCCTGGACAAGCTCAACAACCAGTGGGGCCAGATCGAGATGAAGGAGCCCATGGACAAGTTGAAGCTGAGAAGGGTGAGGAGGCTGTGGACAAGAGCCCAATGGTTGGAGCGCCAAGTGCTTCATCGGAAGTGCCCTCAGGTTTAAAAAGGGCATGGCCGGTCAAGAGAGATCATTTGGCCAAGTATGGGAAAACTACGGGATGCCCTGGTTGCACATCTTTGGTGCGAGGAGTAGGGTTTCAACAAATGGCACACAATGAAGAGTGCCGGCAACGCATCAAACGTCACCTGATGGAGGAAGATGAGAAGAAGAGAGAAGAAGTAAAAAGGTTGAGAGAGGAGGAGGACAAGGAGATGAGCCTTGGAGAGGCTCCCATGGCGGCAGCAGAGCCCGGTAACCTGGCGACTGGAGGAGAGTCGTCGGGGTGTCACGCGGCTGGAGGAGAGCCTGCTGTTGACCTGGGAGATTCACTGCCAGCCGAGGCGGGGGTCAAAAGAAAGGCTGAGGACGAGGTCATAGATGTTGATGACCTGGTGAGGTCGACGGAGGCTGGGGAGACCTTGAAAGAACGGTCAGTTCAAGCCCTGTCAGAGCTCTTGGACAGCTATGAGGCGGCAAAGACGGTGGCGCAGTTGGCGGCCATGGACGTCATAGAAGTCTTTTCTCCACAGAGGCTGAACACCATGGTGGAGAGGTTTGGGCTGAGGAAAGGAGCAGCCATCGATTTGGAGGAGGTCAAGCCTGACGGAACAGAGTTTTGGGATCTTGACCGCATGGAGGACTTTGAGCAGCTGATGGATTTGATTGCGGTGGAACAACCATGGTTGCTGACGAGCTCACCTCCGTGCACTACGTTTTCTTCACTGAGGAGGCTGAGCAACTTCAAGAGGCCAAAGGAAGTGGTGGAGGCAGAAGAGTCCTTGGGCAAGCTTCGATTGTCGAGGTCTTTGGAAGTTGCAAGCTTCAAGATTCACTTGGAGGGTACTATTTGCACGAGCACCCCAAGGAGTCAACAAGTTGGAATGAGCCTGAGGTGGATGAGATGGTGAACCTCCCCAACACGTTCTTGGTGCAGAGCCCCATGTGCCGTTTCAACATGATGGCACAAGATGACGAAGGTCAGTGGGGGCATGTGAGAAAAGAAACTTTGTGGCTGACAAACTCTGAGGAGATTGCGAGGGAGTTGCAAGGAGTTTGCAACAACTATGTTCCTGGTGCTGAGCCTCATCGTCACGTTCACCTGGTTGGGGCATCGAGAGCAAAGGTCGCAAAGTCTATCCGAGAGAATTGTGCGAGGCAATCCTGAGGGGTCTGAAGAACCAGCTGGAGAGAGATCACAGCATCAGTGCCATTGAGGAGCAAGTGGGTGGCCCATCCCCTGATGATGCAGTGGAATGGGAACATCAGTTGGAGCAGTTTGTGGATGATTCTTCGGGGCAGCTCTTGGATGCCAAGCTGGTGCAGAAGGCGAGGCAAGAAGAGTTGGAGTGGCTTCGCAAGGAGAATGTCTACATCAGGGTGAGCGCTGAGGAGTGCACTGGAAAACCCTTACAACTCAAATGGGTTGATGTCAACAAAGGAGATCATCAAGCACCGAAGATCAGGAGTCGCTTGGTGGCGAAGGAAATCAAGAGGGCAAAGCCGTTGTCTGAGCAGCTTGGAGGCGCTGAAACATTTGCAGCGACGCCTCCTGTGGAAAGCGTTTATGCTTTGATGAGTGCCTTCATGACAAGGAGGACGAGAAGTGAGGAGCGGAAACTTATGGCAGCTTGGGATGTGTCCCGAGCGCATTTCATGGGCAAAGCGGCTCGAGACATCTATGTGGAACTTCCTGAAGAAGATCGAGTTCATCCAGGAGATCAAGGTCCGATGATGGGAAAGCTTTTGAGGAGCATGTATGGGACGCAAGATGCCTCCCAGATCTTTCAGAAAGATGACCAAGATTGGCTGAAGGGCAATGGAGCAGAGTTCAGTGCCTTGCAGTTTTCAAGGTGAAAGGCTTGACAGGCCTGGTCCATGGAGATGACTTCTTGGTGGTGGGCAACTTGGAAGAGCTCAAGTGGTTTGACGAGACGCTCAAGTGGTTTGACGAGACGCTCAATGCCAAGTACACCGCGAGATGGGAGTCACTTTTGGGCAAAGACAATGGCAAGAAGCAGGAGATGTTTTTCCTGAACCGCCTGATCAAGTATTTTCCAGATGGAGCGGGTGGAGCAGAAAGACTGGAGATCGAGGCAGATGCGAGGCACGTGGACCTTCTGATCAGAGACTTTGGCTTTGATGCAAAGACGAAGGGCTGCGACGTGCCAGAGGACAAACCTACATCTCTGGACCTCATCGAGACCGAGAGGCAGCCTGGGCTGGGAGGACAAATGCCAAGTCAGTTCAGGTCGATGGTGATGAGACTGGCGTATCTTTCAACTGATAGGCCAGACCTATGTCATCCTGTTCGAGCACTGGCAAGTGCTATGAAGTCTCCGAAGATGAACGATTGGTTGAAGCTGAAGAAGGTCGTCCGCTACTTGCTCAAGTTCCCCTACATGAAGCGGACCTTCCAGAAGCAGACGCTTGAGAATGCGGCAGTGATTTCCTACAGCGATTCAGACTGGGCTGGTGATTTGAAAACCCGCCGATCAACATCGGGTTCGGTGGTGAAATGGGGCAGCCATACGCTGCTGGTGAAGGGATCGAGTCAGAAAGTGGTGGCCTTATCAAGCTCAGAGAATGAGTACTATGCCATGACGAGAACTGCAACTTTGGCTGAGTTCATCCGCGGCATCTTTGACTTTTGGGGCTGGAAGACCAAAGCCACGAAGCTGAGGGTGGACAGCTCGAGTGCAAAGGCGCTGAGTGAACGCCGTGGAGTGGGGCAGAGCCGGCACATCCAGGCGAAGTTCTTGTGGTTGCAAGATCGTGTGGCAGAACGTGAATTGGAGGTGGAGAAGATCAAAGGGCCGACCAACGACAGCGATCTGGTGACGAAGGTGCAAACAAAGGCAGTGATCCAAGGTCATTTGGATCGACTAGGTTTCACGGTGAGTGGAAGGGAAGGCCATAAGCTAATCAGCTAATCCCTGGCCAGGCTCCACTTACCATTTTCAAATGCCACTTGCCATCAAGAGGATGTCTCGTGGCACAGGGGGTGCAAACATATGGCATCTCTTGGGCATAACCATTACGTGTTAGCCATCTGGCGCAAAATAAGTGAGGGGCTTAGGACATAAGCCATGTCTGCAGATTCATCTCCACCTAAAACCTATGACCTATGGCTCTTAATAGTTATAAAACCCACACCATCCTGTACTCTTTCGCTGTATGAAAACCTCAGAGCTATGGGCTTTCGATGTGGCCCTGTGAGTTGACCGACCCGAGGACTTGGAGCTGCTTCATAACTTGGGCATTCACACCGAGTGGGTTCAGCACAACGCACGTCCAGGCACCCTTTATGACGAGGCGGACTGGGCCTTGGAGATGCGGAGGATAAAGTGATGAAAAAATTGCTGCATTGATAGTTGATAGATCTGATAGCTGAAACGAATTCTTGAACTGCTTCATGTTTCTCAAAGGGGAAATACTGGTGAGAAGTCATTGAGTGACTTGACCGTCATCAGTTTGCACGGCTTTTCCCACCCTGCAGTGGAACAGCAACAGTGATCGTGTTTAGGGGTAAGGGAATATAAGGGCTAGGTCATATGGTACCCCATCCTATCCCCTCCTCCTCCTCATCATCATCATCATCATCATCATCAAACCTTAGTTGACCCCCTTCCACCTGTCGTGGTCACTTCTTAGTCTTCCCACACCTGTTGCTCGTTTGTGAACAACTTTCCTAGTTTGCTGGTGAATATCTGGATAGCTCTTGGTAATATCATATGGTACCACCGCCTCCTCATGATTTTTTTCACTCATTTTTTCCGTGGTTCCTAGTTTTTGTTGCGTAAACTCCAACCTTTTTCCTGGTTGAATCATGTCCAATCCCAATTTCTCATGTGTTTCTTCTCAGTTACCTATTTTTTTTGCAACAGTCCACATCTTTGATCATCGTTGCACCTCAACTTCCCCATTTCTTGGGGTCACCGGGACACCTCCATCTGGCGCCCATGGCGTTGAAGGCCCTGCGCTACGAGAAGGGTTCCGCCATTCTGAGCACCGGCGCCCTGGCTGCCTTCTCAGGCGCCAAGACTGGCAGATCGCCCTTGGACAAACGCGTGGTGCTGGAGCTGGGCCCTGAGGGGGATGGATGGGCACGGATGTGGGGGGCTGTTGGTTCCAAGTAGATGGATTTATATATAGTATATATATATATATATACACATGAATATCATTAATATTATAACTATATTCAACTATTCAATAGATACATAATCATGCGAACTATGGTCTAAAACGGGGATGAGCGGTCGCTAGTGAGCCCCAAGTGAATGAGGAAACATTGGATTTTTGGGGGGTCGAGCTGCGGGACCAGGACGTGGATCAACACCAGACTGGACCCATTGGTGTCTGTGGAACCCCTTTGGCAAGTGCACATTTTTGTGATAGAAAATATTGGATACATAGAAAAAACATAGAAAAATAGACATGAATCAGACATGACTCAAACCTGCGACTTCACAAGCAGCGGAGCGGCTTTTTAACACTTTTCTACTGAAGCCCTGCTACAGATCCACATCGCCAGGGAAAGCACGGAGAATGACATTTGGTGGGGTTCGGCTTCTCAGATGGCCAGGGATGGCACCTGAATCACGGAAGATCTTTGGATGGCTTGGAAGATGGCTTAAACATTGGGTGAATCACCTCACCGTGAAGTCACCATGATTTTCTGATCAGAGTGGTGAATTATTACAATTATTACAATTGGCAAATAATTACCTCTATTTGGCAAATAATTACCTCTATTTCAATTATTTCAGATTGGTGAATTATTACAATTCAGCCTTTGGAATTGTCAAAGATCGGCCGCCAGAATGGTCTCTGAGTTGTGGAGAGCTCATCAGAGCTCCAGTTGCGATATTCTTGCCGCTCAAGAGTATGACCCCAGTCGACCCAGTCAAATGGATGGTGTCAGAACATTTACGAACTATGTTTATCCAACTTTTACGGGTTGGCACGTGCTCATACCATCTCGTACCCCGTTTCGTGTCGCCCTCCCCTCCGCAATCATATTTTTCTTAGAGGAGAATAGCGCGCAGAGCTATATCAATAGCGGATTTTCTATTGCCAGATGCATGTTGCATCTATGCCCTGGGATGGTGGTGATGATGATGATGATGATGTTGTTGTTGTTGAGATGATCCAAGATTATTAATATTTTGTTTGGCATTATTTGAAACTCCCACGAGGTTTGCTTCTCCATTGAACCCCCAGGTCCGGTGAATGTGCCTCTCTCTGAGAACACCTTCAAGACTGGGCTGCACAGGGCTGGTGGAGATTCCTCCCAGTCCACTGGGATGTCCAAAACTAGCAGGGCTTTCCCGCCAAAATGGTCCATTTTGCATCACCTTTCGTGGATTTGGCGGCCTTTTGGAGAGTCGACTGTCACGATGTATTTCAAAATCTGCCAAGATTTGAAGTCATTGCCATGTTTGCCGTGAGGATCAACCGAGAACGAGCCATTGACTACTTGAACACACGAGCGCCTTGCCTTTGAAAAAACGGATCATCCCAGCTGTAACAGAAATAGCTTCGTTTTAGGTGGGGTTTGGTACATCACCCGGCTTTTAAATCTCGGGGAACCTTACTTCCTCATGATGGGATACCATAGGATTTGCGGTGTTTAGTAGGACCTTTCCTGCGATGGGGACAGGGATAATCATTAGTTGAGGTCAGTGGGTGATCTAAAGATGACAAAGTAGATGAACATTTTGGACAATATCCAGCCATGACACTTCAGTGTTCAGTTTACACCGAACCATACTGAACCCTAAATAGTACGACAATTTGCAGGGCACGCATTCATATTTGATTCATTGTTCAAATCGATGCAAATGGATACTTGGACCGTCCTAATCAATCCCTAGGGTCGCTTCAATGGATGATTTCAATCCAAACAATATCCACATAATACCATCATTCTGCTGGTTGTTTTCGTAGCCAGTCACCAACATTATTGTCGTGGCCATATCATACTTCGTCTCCGAAGATTCGTTGCATCTACATTGAGCTGACCTCCCCATGTTTGTTCTTTTGCACCTCCATTCTAGTTGGTTTGCATCCTCGTTCTTGGACACATCTCCCACGTTCTGTTTTGTGACCCCGCACTTTTGGATCATTTCGGTTGGAGAATTTCAGCCAGCCTCAAATATCCTCAAACGACATCACCTGAAATGATAGTGAACCTTTCGTAAACGCTATGAATTTCATGTATGTCATCACCTTCAAATTGCCCTAAATTAGGTTTGGGTTTGGTCGCGCAAATTCTCCAAGCTCGAGCGAGGAACGCCTATACGTGTTCGATGGCTTCGCTGGGTGGGACCCGGACTTCCGCTACAAGGCGGCGCTGAAGTGTTTCGCGGTCAATGTTTCGTATGAAAAAGGGGGTAACCCCCCAATTACTGGTCAGGCTTATCAATCTGGGGTTAACACTACTTAGATTTCTCGTGAACTTGAAGATTCTGGTGCCACATTGCCTCCAGCGCCCCACAAAAACCAGACGCGATCCGTGCCAGATTCGAGTCATCACCAGCAGAGCGTACCATGCACTCTTCATGCACAACATGCTCATCCGACCGACCGAGGAGGAGCCACGGCTATGATGGTGGAGGGATGCCTTGCTACATACCTATGCAGCCACCTATAGACTCATAGGCTCATACGGTTGTAGCGGTTGTAGGGTAAATCATGGTAAATCCATATGTGATCACCCCCCAAGTGGAAGCGATCCTTGTGGTCGAATGATCACCTGAAGATTTGGAAGGTGGCCTGGCCTCGGCCCACCACTTTGAGTATGGCATCCAAACTTGGAGTCTCGAAATCTCATACCATTGACATCCTGGATTCTCAGGCGTTCTAAGCGTTCTATCATCCATTCAAAGATCAACACAGCAGCTTCACGGAAGCTTCGTCCCATCCTTTGTGGCAGGAATTGCTGAACTTCGGCGAGCCGGAACCGTGGGGGGAGGGTATACCGGGTACGTGCCTGGACAGGTTGTCTCCATGATCATCCCTGCAAGAGCCAGATGGACCGATGGATTTGGTGGGTGACTAATGGTTAGTAAATGTCCTGTTTTGATTGTTTTGATTGTTTTGATCCATTTTGGGTATTTTAAACATCACTTTCAAGTATTTGTTGGAGATTCTATCCCCAATAGTTTAGTGATGTTCAAGTAGGACATTTACCACCCCCTGTTAATGGAGACCATGTTTTTCTTGACTTGTCAACGTAGGTGTTTCCTGTAGCCGTCCAGTGACATTGAAAGATGAGTATGGGTCGCATTCTGTTATCAAAAATGGGGATGGTTTGCTACTAAAAGTCAGCAATGAATGTGGTTCCCAGGTCCAATAATTTTGTCCCAAAGCATGTGGCCGTATTCGAAACAGGGTCCGGATTTCAAAGGGATGGTCACTTCACCCAACGCTGTCCGTGCTTCCATGATCATGGTCATCATGGATAATCATTGTACCATTCTGATGGGCTACAGGGAAATCCTCTGACACAGTACAAAGGGAATCGGGGCGCATCCTTGCAACCAGAAACTAGCCGCTGGCAGGATAGCCCAGGCCCAACATTTGGTAGTGTAGGTGTTATCATTTTTGCAAAGGACTACAGACTATATATATATAATTATATAATATTCAAATATATACATCATATATTTATACACTATTCGCTTCAATCATTAGCACTTCTAGTTGATATGACAAACACCTTCAACGTTTTTTTTTTTTTAACATCTTCCTTGCTCCAATCATCCAAGTAGTTCATCTGGTCGTTCACCTGATAGTTCACCTATATTACATCTGGTTGGTGGTTTGGAACATGATTTTTATTTTTCCATATATTGGGAATAATCATCCCAACTGACGAAGTCATATTTTTCAGAGGGGTAGGTTGAAACCACCTTAACTAGTCATGATATATCACGAACATTTACGAACCACCGAAACATTCAACGCTTGGTTTTTGAGCCATCTTCCTGAAGCTTCGGTTCTTCACCTGGCTTCGGTTCATCACCCCTGGCTTAACCGTCACCGGGTTACCCTCTGGTAAACTAACATAGCTATGGAAAATCACCATTTTTAATGGATAAATCCACTATATATAAATCACCATTTTCAATAGCTATGTTAGTTTACCAGAGGGTACCCTCTGGTTATGACTAACAGTTTGCCATGGAAAATCCCATAAATAGAGGTTTCTAGCTGGGAAAATCCACTATTTAACTATGGTCATTGGAGAGGACTACACCATCTACAACGGCGGCGCCTTTCCGGCGAACCGTGCCACCGATGGCATGACCTCCGGGACCTCGGTGAGTCTGAACTTCAAGACCCGCCCCTTCGCCGAACGGGGAAAGGCTGGCTGAATGGACTGGTGGGTGTTTTTTGAAAATCCCCCAGTTACCCTATGGTAAACTACCATTGCTACTGAAAATGGCCATTTACCCATAAAAATTGGTGTTTTTTGAAAATAGTGTACCCCTAAACCCAATGGTTTTGCTGATCATTATCCTGTTTTTAAATGGCTATTTGTTTGGGAATATACCCTATTTTCAGACAAACCCTGGTTGTGTTTTTTGAAAGTTGGGGGTGGGTCAAAACCTATTCTTATCAATTCTAATGGGATGAACATCCATAAATCCCAGCTATGACTTGGGGTTCACTAGGTGCCAGGGTTTTGACCAATAGCCAGTTCCGAAAAAAAAAGGTGGAAGAAAATACTGACATGGAATTTGGAAAAGATGCGATCAATGATGATCAATGATCAATGATGATCAATGATCAATGATGATCAATGATCAATGATCAATGATCAATGATGATCAATGATCAATGATGATCAATGATCAATGATGATCAATGATCAATGATGATCAATGATAATGTGTGAAGGCAACCACAAAGTCCACCATTTCACGAGCCACGGTTTGGGTCCCCAATTTGCGACTTCTCGCGTTGAAGCGGTACAATCATTTATCGGTCGATCAGGGGATTTGTTTGACAGATGGGCATGGGTCAAAACCCTGTACCCCTGGTGAACATGAACATAAATAGGGGGTAAATGGATGTTCATAGCCAGATGACACATTTTTCATTACTTGTTGCATGAAACCAATCTTCAGTAATTAAATTGTCCTCACAGAAAGGGCACACAGAAAGGATTGGAGGTTTGAAGTGTGAACCCCCAAAAATGGATTAAATGTTTGGTTCCGTACAAAGAGGTTTCCTGAACAATTCCATGTTCAAGGCTCACTACATCACATTTCATGCCCTCTTGTCCGTGATCTCCTCCGAATAATATCCTCATTTGGATATTGTTTTTGCGATCCTGTTGGGATGTCTATCATTGTTCATCCAAAAGTCCTCTTCTTGGCATCCATCTCACATCCCACATCTGGGTGGTCAAAATGGAGACTTCACCCAGGAGAGGTGGTGATTTTGGGCACGCAATATGCTGGGGAGATGAAGATTCCTGGCGCGCAATATGTGGGAACGGGGAGAATCATGTAATGTGGTAACTCCAGTGATCTGAGTGTCACCATTTGAATCACCATGTTACGTGCTATGTTAATTATAATATCTTTTTAAACTACGTACTATTTTAATTCCTATTCACTATTCTAGTTACTGTTTAAGTACCACCTTAATTACCAGTTTAACTACTATCACACTTGCATAATTACATATAATTACTATGAAGTACTTAGTTGCTATGATTTACTTCTAATTATTGGTTATTAGTTACTTGCTCTTGCTGGCTCTTGATTATTGTCGATTACTATAGTCTATAGTAATCATTAGTAATCACTATATACTTGCTCTTATTTTCTATTAGTTACTATCAATAGAACAGGTATATACTAAGTATTGTCAGCTGCGGGATTCCAACATCGGACGAAAACTTATCGACAGTTATCAGCACCCGGCGGACACTGGTAGCAGGCTGGTAGCAGGGTAGCCTGACTATTGACACCCCTCTACCCATTGAAGGCCTAGTTTCACCATGTTTCACCACCCAAACCGCCATGAATATAACACCGGGCCTTCCTCAGAGCATTCCAGGATCCCTAGATACTACCCTCAATCAAACATGGCATCTTTTTTTGGGGAGAATCAAGCGAACAATAGGTAGAATGATCGACTTTTTCCATTGTCAGGTCCGACCTTTGCCCAGGAAAGGTGTTTTCACCATCATGAACTACTTGCTGCCCAAGCGTGCCTTGGAAGATTTTGAAAGATGGACAGGCCAAGTGAGAGCCCCACGGTTGCCGGCGTGAAATCACCACCACTACCAGCGACTTTTCGCCTAAAAAGGAAGTACTGTGATCCAGTGGTAGACCCAACAATGGAACATCTCCAGTGACTAACCGGTCGGGGTCATTCTGCTTGGCATCCCAAGCAGGGGTACATTCATCAATAAACCATCAATGGATGGTGAAATCGATTACAGTAAGATCACAACGGATGGAAATCTATTGGTCACTAGGGATTATGATCATGTTCATTGCAAGGAAACCCAGGAGGGTGTCCAGTGACCTACCTAGACCTACGTAACCTACACTGAAAGTCCTTGGGATTTCCTATACTATCTGGTTTCAGCAGATGGTATGTGATATCCACAATGGAAAGAATTCCAGAAGATCCTATATCCATTAACGTATCCATTGAACACAAAGGGGGGAACATACCAATAGTAGTTTTTTTTTTTCCAGATCGCAATGTATATGTATATATCATATATATATATATATATTATGTTATGAACATCCTATCACGTCACATAACATAGCACAATATATGGAACACAATTATTGAACCCGTTGAACCCCATAGGATAATTGGTACCGACTTCATGGATCGGTGATGACATTTCTGTAGCATGTCTCTTGTGTTTGCCCATGTAAAATATCAATGGCTGGTTGGTGGTTTCAACTAACTACACATATGTATATATATATATATATTATACATATACATATACATATATGTATATACATACCTACAAACATATATATATATATGTACACATGTTCAGCCGTATTTGGGATGATGCTCCCCAATGACTTGCCCACTTTTTCAAGGGGCTGTGGGCTGTAAATCACCAAGCAGAATCTCAGGTGGAATTCTGAGCATGCACGCCAGCGCCAACGAGGGCAAGAAGCTGGGATCAAGGGGTGGGATGTGAAAATTGGAGTCCGTAGATTACTTTATGGTAAACTAACATAGCTTTAGAAAATCACCATTTATAATAGGTAAATCAACTGTAAATGATCATTTTCAATAGCTATGTTAGTTTACCAGAGGGTACTTTATGGTTGTGTGGCTCAACATGATGACCTTCTCTTCAACTAACAGTTCGCGAACTGGAAAATCACTAACAGGATTTTCATAGCGAACAGATTCATCGAATCCAACGGTCCATCATACGATCCATCCCCAATGACTCACGCCCCATAGGTTTAAGATGGCTTGAAACCATTAGAAAGGCTTGGCCACCAAGCCTTTTGGTATGACCTGCTGAGAATTTTCTTTAGCTGTTTCGCCCCTGGGGATCCCCTGCTGCAGGTGTTGCATCGACCATGTCTACTAGCCATTTCAGACATTGGTTTTCTTTTCCAACTTGAAACACGATGCTCGTTTGAATTTGTAGGACCTCCCAAAAGACAGAAATAGTTCATCACTATTTCAGTAGGATTTTGCATTGCCATTCTGCTATTCTTTACGGATTGCTGGAACGCAATTTGTATCATCCATCCTTCACATATACAGGACCCCAATTAATTATACAGGAGCCCAAATTAACTTGTATATTTAGTTTCGGGTCCCATGTGTAGGGGATGTTTACCATCAGCGGGATGGACTTACTATAGTTTCTCAAATATCATTTCTGAGGTTTTGCTTACTTGACCATGAATTCCCCGTTCAAAGATTGATCATGTTTGATCGACATACCACAAGCCATGGCTGTTGTTTGGTCTCGTTTGCGCCATTCGAAACCAGAGTTTCAGGGGTTATATCACCCATAGTAACCAACTGGTGATTTTGGATTTTGCACCCATCCACAGTATCATGTTATATCCCAACTAATTTGTAGGATACTTAGCCATGAAACCACCCGAAGACACCATGACGCCATGGCTTTTTGCCGGCTGAAAGCACCCTGAGGGCCGGCGATGTGACCATTTTCTTCGGCCTCAGTGGAACGGGAAAGACCACGCTGCCGCTCGAGCCACAAAGGAATTTGCCATTGGTGTATATATATATATATATATATATGTATATACATGTATCACATGTGTGCACATGTATATACATATATATATGTATATATATATGTGTGTGTATATATATGTCAATATTCATGCCAAATGCCAATATATATATATATATAATTATATATATATATTGGTGTATGTCATTCCACCAATGAATATATGAATGAACAAATACATGTATCACATGTGTATATATATATATATATATATTATATATATATATGCATAATGATTATACTGATACATGACAGCCATCTATGTGTTTTTTTGGATATGTAATATAGCTGCAAAGACAGTCGCTTGCCAGTCGCTTGCACCCATTTGTTGAGACGGATTCTGTCCGTACTCGCTCTCCTGAAATGCATCCCCCTTCGTTTTTCATACTGTTCTACATTCATGAATTATAGTTTCATTCCCAATGTAGCTAATAGTAGAGATGTTTTGAAATTATGATAGCAAAGCGTTTTATGTGTATAATAAGATTCTGTATAATTATATATTAATTCATGATATTCATTTCTTCATTCATTCATTCATTCATTCCTTCATTCCTTCATTCATTCATTCATTCATTCATTCTTTCATTCTTTAATTCGTTCATTCTTTCATTCTTTCTTTCATTCATGCATTTGTTTATTTACTTATCCATTGACTATTTAACTATTTACCGATTTGCATATTCATCATTCATGTGGATACTTTATCCAGCTAAATCCACCGGCTCGGGGGCACCAGATTTCACCAGTCGGGGCCCGTGGTCCTCGCCCGAGGTCCGCAGATGAGAATCGCTTGCTGATCGGCGACGACGAGCATGCCTGGACAGACAAGGGTGTCCCGTGGCGGATTACGACCACTTCTTGCACCGAAAAAAAATGGACAGGTCCTGGACATGACATGAGCCTTTTGTAACCCAAAAAGATGAAAGAAAGGCAAAGTCAACGACTATATCTCAGGTAGCTGCTACAACTTTTCTACATCTATGGCTTTTTGATGTTGACAACTGGGTGAATCATCTGAAGTGGATGTAATGATTGACTATAATGACTGATCATGATCATAGTGATGATATATGATATGATTGATTATACATCCCAAATAGTAATAACATCCACTGATTTTAGTGATAGATTTCTGATAAACTTCTGCTGAATCGTCCCAGCGGCGAAATTTGACTTCCACATATTGCTAGTATTTGCTAGTATTATTGCGATTATTACTACTATTGTTATTGTTATTATTTGTAGTGTCACTATTTATTTTCATTATCACTATTATGATCATAATACATACACATATAATCACATATATATATACACATACATATTAACATCTGTATTTCTGTCCAAGGAATACTAGGATGGGTTGAAACCACCAAGCAGGACACAGTTTGCGCAGGAATCAGATAACACCGACCCAACATTCACTCCAACTGGTTGACTTTGTAAGAACAGTCGGGTTTGAAACCACCTTGAATGGCCTCAAAAGTATTTTTGGTTTTCTGCCAGTTGACGAGCCTTGCAGGGTCGGTGACATGCTTGATGTCAACTTAGTAAACATTTGACTGAGGGGGGGCAGGGCGTACAAGAAATGAAGAAAGCACCATATAGGCTGGGATCTATTGGATGGAATTTCAGTCATGACATGGGATAGCTGCATAGCTTGAAGTTATTGATGCCCATTTAACGTGATGTGAAAAAGCAATAAATGTATATAAATTTCATATAAATGCTAAATCGTGTTGAATGCAAACAAATGAACTTTGCCCGTCCAAGCACGAACTCCAATATTGAAACCATTTCCACTTGGGTCTTCCGAACGGATGGCCAAGAAACAAGTTTTCCGGGTCAACATCGGGGACCCAAAATGGGACAGTTTTCAATGTCCAAACGGTAGGTTTCAGGTCCAATTTTGATCCCCAAAAACGGCCGTAAATTCTGCTCTTGGACAATCATTAGAATTTAGAATTGTAGAGTAAAATGAGGTAGAATTGTGGCTCTGCAACTTGGCTTGTCCTATACTTATCTATACTTTAGGTAGAATTTCTGGTTACATCTCCTGCTCAGTAAGTAGCGCGCTTTAATTTTCCTGTTTAACGGGGGACTCCAGCGACCATCCCACAGCCACTGAGATCTTCAACATTGAGGGCGGTTGCTATGCCAAGGCACTGTCCCAGAATGTTCACTGGGAAAAAAGGAGGGAAAAAATGACTTCATGTACAAGTCGTAGACCTCAAAAGTCATTATCCATCATTATCCAGAAATTATCCAAGGTGGCTTGTTTAGGACCGTTTCAGAACACTTTAAGGGGCCCATGGGGAAAATGGGAGGTGGTTCTTTGATCTTGATATCGAAGAAACCTGGTCGACAACTACATGCATAGCTTGGCTACTGCTGATTGCATATATATATACATATATATATATATACATATACACACACGTATGATTATGTATGTATAGCCACATATATACATACATACACACTCAGCAATAGTTGGATGGTGGATGTCATATGACTCGGGGACCTACCCAGCGGGCCCGTCGTTGGCCACCACTGATTCCCTGAAAAATGATCAAACTCCAGCATCCCAAATTGCATCCAATTCCACCATAAAAAATTGTATATATATATATATATATGTATATACAGTACTATATATAATATAGATATTATATGTATATACATACTAGTGTATTATGTGATATATACACACAGACATACACAATATATATATATATATACACAGTATATGTATATATATATATACAGTATGTATATATATATATACACATATGTGTTTATATATATATATTCTATTTAACTGAACCTTGGAGAGCCAACAGATTGGAAGCTGCACCGCTGTTTGCAGGCCATCGGCCTCACACGTGAGAAGGACCGTTTCAGCGTAGGGTTTTCGTCGTTGATCTGAGTTCTTTTTCCAGTCGCGAAATCACCGAACTACAACGATAATGAGAAACATGGCTAGCTGGAGCATTACCCTCTGGTTATTTAACATAGCCATGGACAATGGCCCATTTATAGACGGTTTACCTATTAAAACTGGTGATTTTCCATGGCTACTGTATGTTAAATAACTAGATGGTAAATCCGACTACACCAGGAGCCTGAGATTTGGGATGCGATCCGCTTTGGCGCGCTGCTGGAGAATGTGGTCTTCGACCAACGCACAGGCTGTCCGCGACGGAAATTTCCGAGGGTTGCTGAGCTGTTGGACCACAACCAAATGGGTGCTTGTTTCACCCAGATTGTGAGTCCTACATCAAAAGTCCTGGTTTGGACAAACATATGCTGTTAGCCTCTGGAAAATGCGGGTGGCTATGATCATTGGAAATGAGGAAATCATCTATCAACAGGGTCCACGTTGGTCGAGGATCTGTTTCGTTCCCTGCTGGCGACAACACTATGAAACTGGGGGTGAGCCACCTGTACTTGCACAAAGCAAGTAACCTCCACTTATGAGAGGAGTTTGATAGTTTGGATCATTGCAAATTGTCCAAGTGGTGTTTTGATTTTGCAATCCTGGCCTGAAGCGAGAAAAGAAGTGGAGAATGAACCTTTTGAACCTGTAAGATGATTTTCATTGATTTTCACATTGAGAATGGACGATTTTCACATCTGTCCTTGTTACATTTTAAATAAATCATTGATTCATGACTGTAAAGATAATACCCAACTAACAGTAACTAACAATCAGATGAGGGTCACTTTAAAGCATTCGCCAGATGTGTCAGCTACACCACGGACCCTTGGGTCTGGGGATCCATTCCCATGCCATATGATGAAGCTGCTGGAATCTATTGGATTGTGAAGATGTTTTGAGTCAACTTCGGTCAAAGTTACAGCCGCCCCATAAAATTGGAATATCTTAAAAGTCTTGGGTATAGTGTGAACTCTGGATTAATAACCCCCTGGGCTGTTAAACTTTTGGCCCGTTGGGTGGGTACCCCAAATAGAAAAAAAGCAGCAGATTGTCATAGATTATCACTGTTTGGGGGGTTCCCCGTAATTGATAAACCATCATTGGGGGATTTACTAAAAATTAAACTGAGGTTAACCCATAGATAAACCATATTTTTTGGTTAACCCATAATAAACCAAGATTTACTAATTGGGTTATCCTCTGGTAAACATACAAAAAAACTATGGAAAATCACCATTTTTAATGGGTAAATCCACTATAAATCACCATTTTCAATGGGAAAACTCACTATAAATCACCATTTTCAATAGCTAACTGTTGACATCACCAGGCCGGGTAAGCATAAAATCACTGGCCCCCTGACTGGACTTTGAGGCGAGGTGGACTACAACGACGGCAGCATCACAGAGAACACACGGGTGACCAGCCGACAGCGTTACGGTGGTGTTGGGAAAAACCTGGGCATGTCCAAAGATGGCTATGGATCATTACCTATAAATAGCAACTTCAGGGGGATTAACATCCATTTACCAGCTATTTTGATGTTCAACAGGGTACAAGGTTTTGACCCATCCAAAGATGGGGACGACGAAGTCGAAGTTTACCATAGTTTACCTTCAGAGATGCTGATTTCAGTAGAAGATATGTTCAGAACGGCAAATAGATTAAGTACTCTTCTGTCGTACGAGTGTACATGTGATTAGTAACTATGGCATTTTGCTCTTGGATATGATATGATAGATATGACATGATATGATATGAAATGACCGTATGAAAGGGGCAAAATGGAACCTGCCCCGAACTATATATAAGAATTTCACCACCAGGATCAGAATCAGCGGGGTTGATGCACATGGCATCACGCAGCGGCCCAATGGGGTGAACGGAAAGGGTATGAAGACTTGGGACAGAAAACTCATCAAAAACCAAGGTTTCCCAAGGTTTCCCAAGGTTTCCCAAGGTTTCCCAAGGTTTCCCAAGGTTTCCCTACCAAAATTGACCAAGGTTTTTCTGATTCGACTGGAGATTCTCCAGCGTAGGACCTGGTCCGAGGTGTCGTATCCCCTGGAGTACATTCCCAACGTGAAGATCCCGGCCGTGGGCGGTCATCCAAAGAACATCATCATGCTGTCTGGTGCTTAAACTGCCCGCGGGTTGATGGAACTGGTGGCTGGATCCAAAGATATGATAGATATTCTTGGGCGGGGAGGAATTCCAAACTCTCAAAAAGATCTATCCAGATCTGCAAGATTTAACTGTTTGCAGAAAAGAAGCATACAAGCAATCCGAATTTCTGCCATTAAGATCCATTAGGGGGCATTGATTTACACCTTCAGGCACCGGCTTGAACTGGAATCCAACATCTTCAAATAAGGCTGATCCATGTGGAGTCCAATTTTGTGGGTGGAAATGCTGCTGGCAAGGGCAGTTTCCACTGATGACCCTCTGCTAATCTAACAGAGCTATGGAAAAAGCACCACTTTTGATAGGTAAATCATCTAGAAACAGGCCAATTTCCATTGCCATGTCGGTTTTTCCAGAGGGTGACCTCTCAAATTTCCAGAGGATATCTGCAGCAATAACGGCACAAGGACCTGCGATGCCTTCGGAGTGTTGCCCCCCGTGTCCAAGTTGACTCCTGCACAGGTGGGGGCACCCAACATCTCGCACTTCGGTGGGGAAAATGATGAGAAACGACCGGGGATTTTCGAGCTACGACATTCTACATGGGGATGGGTCAATATACCCTCTGGTTATGACTAACAGGGCTAGCCATGGCTAGCCATGGTTTTTGGATGGCCCATAGAAATAGATGATTTTCCCAGCTAGAAACCTCCATTTATTTATGGGATTTTCCACGGCTATGTTAGTCATAACCAGATGGTATGTCAAAATGGTGGTGATCCGGGCTCTGGTGATGAACCCAAGGCCATGTATCACTTCATTTCTGGCTACACTGCCAAGGCCGGGGTTTTTCAAAGCGGAGTTGCCAAGAGCCCTGATCCAAAAAAGGATTCCAAAACGGATCCTGATGGCTTTGGTGATATGATTTTCCCATCAATAAACCATTATGTATATATATATACCGTATATATATATAATATATGTATATACACACACACATATATATATATATATACTACGTCCATTTCTTGGAAGTTCCCAGCCGTTTTTCATGTGCGGAGGGTACGATTTAGTTGGTAGGCACTTTCTGATCAGAAAATTTCAAGCAATCAGATTGCTCTGTGCATTTGTTGTTGAAACTGGATTATATATAGATGGGGACGGTGAAATACTGTTTGTCTTGTAAGAGGGACTCATCACTTTGCAGTGGTGAACGTGTCTGCTTTGCGGGTTCTTACATCATCCCAACAACTCCGATCAGTCGCTGTGCTTCTCAGCCCGAAGATTTTCCTTTCAAATAGCTGAGTTCGAAGTCATCTTTTACTTTTGACATATGTGTATTTTTGTGGCAACATCCATTTTTGTTTGAACTCACCTTAAACCTGATATGTTTTTTGATTGCTTGAGTTTGTGATAGGATCACAGCTTTGCACACTTTCAGCAACGCACCTCTGGTCCCATCTTGCCTGTCAGGTGGCTGGTACTGAGATGGGTATCACGGAACCCACCGTGCGGTACCCAAATTGTTTCCAGTTCAACCAGTTGATCATAGTTGATCACCAGTTGATCACCAGTTGATCACTCCTTTGTCACTTAATATAGTTATCACTAGTCACTAGTCCTCAATAATAATTGTCATCAGTTGTTATCACTATATATATATATAATTATGTACATATCACTATACATATATATATATATATATATTATCACTAGTCCTCCATAGTTATCACTAGTTATACTCTTTGGCTTCACGGTCAGTCAAGGCCACCTTCTCGGCATGCTTCGGCGCACCCTTCATGGTCCCTTGGTGTTTTTTGGGGTGCTTTCTGGGCCAAAAAAAACACAAAAGGGGGAACCCCCACATCTCCATACGGGAAAATGATGCGAATGGCATTTGTTTTTTGATACCCTAAATTTTCAGACAAACTCATATGGCAATTATTGGCAATTGAAAAGTACAACTTTGAACAACCATGGCAATGGGCAAGTGCAACTTTGAGCAATCATCTACGAGTGGCATCAAAAGGATGATTTTTATGCGGCTACATTGGATTGCCAGAGGGTAGGGTGAAGCATGAATGGATTTGCTATGTGAATAATGTTTACAGTCTCAAAGAATCTCTTGAAGGAGGTGCATCATGCACGAACAGACAATTTTCTAGAGCGCCCTGTTTTATTACCAGCGGGAACTGAATATTTGTTGAACAAACAACCTTGGTGAACGACTGGTGCAGGTTACTGTAACAGATCGTTTTTGCACTGGGTCGTTTTTGCGTGGCAGAGAGCGAGGAATATAGACGATACTACACTCTCCAAAAAACAAGGACCCGTGGCCACACAATAAATATTGACCGTCCCGGAAATCCTGCTATTTGTTTTTCCGAAGGTTATCCAAGATTAGCAATGGTTTGGCAGCCACTCTGGGTTGATTCCTGAAGTTAGTAACAGTTTCAGCGAACTGCAGTTTATAACCCCTCTAGTCATAGTTGGAATATCTTGACAATTCATACAACCCTTGAAATTGCACACTACCCAAGGTTAGGCTTCCAGTGTCAAGCAGTTCCTCAAGCATGGAGCCGTCCAATCGCCCTTTTTCTGGATCAAATAGGGGGGTCTTTCCAAAAAGTGAATAGCCCAAAACCATCCAAAACCGGTTTAAAAGTGAGAAATGATCCCGTGGATCATCTTGGTCCATTTTACGAAAGCCAAAAAATCACTGGATCAACAGCAGTGCTCTGGAGCGCCAAACTTCGAGGTGTGGCACCCGGCCAAATACGCGGAGCTTTTGGCTGAGAAGATGTCCAAGCACAACGTGAATGCTGCTCGGATGCGCCTAGGGCCCTGGCTTAAGAATCGAATCGGGACTTTTCTTTCACCTCCCTGGTGAAAAAAGGGGAAGATGATGGAAGATGTTTTCTTGGGCCATCATTTATCAAGATTTATCAAGTATTTCTGGATGGGATAGGGATATTCATGGTTTAGCGGATGGCCATAACCCTGAGGTGGATGTGAAGCTGCAAACATGTTGATATAACTTGATAGCCATAAATGTATGGATTGAAATGATGGTTGGGTTATACCACCGCCACTGGCTTAGCAGGGATGATGGACCCTAGGGCATACCCCCAAATTGCTATAGTCTAATAGGAAAAATTAATTAAAATTATCAAACACCATCGGATTCAGAAATTCAGGGGCTTTCCACAAGATTTTTACAGACACACCCACATTTAACACGCAAACATGTCGGTTTTTTCATGTTTTTTCCCCAGCATTTTCCGATCGAAAAAAACGCGGGCAAGGCTTGGTTGATCAACACCGGCTGGACCGGTGGCGCCTTTGGCACTGGACACCGAATGAGCTTGAAGGCGGCTGTCATGGGGATATTAAACTAACAAGGACGAATTATTCATCATCTAGATGAATCTAGATGATTGGGATCATAAACCATCAGTTAAACAATCATCTAAACATCATCTAAACATCATCTAAACATCATCTGGGTCATTTGGGGTCCAAATGGGAGGTTGAATCCTTATGACTTCCAGGGATGATTGTTCAACGTTGATTTTCTTGGGAGCGTACAAGTTGAAATTGACGGAGTAAACATACTGATCCGGGTTGCCATTTGCCATTTTGATACATTTTTAATCATTTTTATATACCGTATTCGATGGTATTCGTATTCTAATAATTGCATATATTTACGGTACTTGGATTGGCAGAGGGAACGTATCTTGCGTGAATGGGAGATGCATCCGCAGGCTTTGGTATAATCAATTATCCATTTTACTTGAATAGTCTTTGCAACCATTGCAAGGATTAGAGAGGGGATGTTGGTGCAGAGAATTGCACCCTTGCTGGCAACTTGGTGGTATTGAATCACGCGGGTTGAGGCGTCATTAAGGTTGACCCATAGCTGCATCATTTGTATTTGTTATATTTGCGCATCGTTTCCCAATCGCCCAACATCGAAACAAAGGACGGATCCATCCAAAAATTGGCCGAAAAATGGTGATCTAATTATATTACACTTGGTTCTACTGTATCTTTTGATCTAAGATCCAACCTTTGGTTGGTTAGGTCTCCAGCTTGGGTTGTCCTCCCTGGACAGGACACCCGTGCCATCATTGATGCGATTCACTCGGGGGACCTGGCAAAGGCGGAGCACCTTGGCAGCAAACCGCAGCGGGACGTTGCCACGTTTGAAACGGGGTGATGTACCCTCTGGTAATTTAACATAGCTATTGAAAATGACCATTTATAGTGAATTTTCCCATTGAACATGGTGATTTTCCATAGTTATGTTAGTTTACCAGAGGGCAGCGGACGGATGACGGATGACGATGATGAGGATGATTGGATGATGATTGAAACACTGTGAAACAGAAAATTTGGGCGGTTGACTGGAAAGTCACATCCATTGACTGGAAATCTGTTGGCTAAACATTTGGCAAGCATGGTTTCATAGTCAACCGTCGACCGGACTGACGATTGCTCTGAGGTATGAGTCCTTTGAGCGCTTCAACTTGCAGGCGTTTTCAGGGCAGCGTTGTTTCTCTGCGGAACTGCGAGTACTTGGATTTAACGATATTTCAAGATATTTCAAGAACAATGACAGTTTGGTGTTTGAAGATGGATGCTTAGAGATTTTGGGTGTTTTTTCGAATTATATAATATATTAAGTAACTGGCAGATAGAATATTCAACATTTCATTGATTTGAAAATAACACATGGAATTTTCGCAAAATTTATAGCTGGGTAAATTCACACATAGAATGTTCCAGTTACTGAATATACCATCTCAGGGTGCCCAACTTTGACCCATGCCATACTTCTCAGGGTTTTTCCCCTGTAATCAAACGTGGCTGGAGAATCCAGGCATGGTGAGAAATTACTGGAGCCATGTTGTTCCCATCTAATATATCTAATATTCGATCCTGGAAAAAAACACATTTTAAATGCTCAGAAAAAATCCCAATGAAATATATGAAATCCCCATAATTTCTTGGAAATTATGGCACTTTTGTTGTGAAAATGAGGATCACCCTGGATGGTTGAGGTGCCTAAGACTTGCGCCAATGTGGACACCAAGATCTTGATGCCCAACAAGACCTGGGCCGACCAGGCCGGGACCCGAAGAGTTCCGAAAAAAGGTATGGTTTTCCAGAGGTATGTTAGTTCAAACATCTTCAAACCATGACTTCAGGGAAGCAAAATGTGTCGATTTCTGACGCAAAATCCCTGCCTTGCAAAATCTCTCCGCAATCTGGTGACTGTTGGGGTGGGGGGGCAATGCAATAATTGAGGGGTCAATGACATAGCATTTCCATTATTCAAACATTGATGAACCATCCCGAAACGGGGCATTTTCAGCAGCTGACAGATCCCTTGCACCAGAAAGGATCAATGGATATCTACATAAGGGTGCACTAATGTTGTATTGGTATATATTCATGGTAAAATAATCATTTTCTAATGGTATATTCATATTACATCATATGGATCATATGGATTCGCCTGAGAATGGGGTACTTCTACATCCTCTGGTGAACATGATGATAGTTACCCTGAAGTGGCGACAATTCATGGGTACTCACTAAATGGATGGTTTATAATTAATGTGGAAAATCCTATTAATGGATGGTAGTCCCATTATAAATCCCATTAATAACATCTACTGAGTCTACTTACACTGGGCTCAGATACTGTTTGTTCCTTCGGTGGTTTGGTATCCGCCCGAGGAAGAGTTCAAGGTGACCGCAGCCAAATTGGCCAGTCTCTTCAAGGACAAATTGCTGTTCCATTTCAACATTTTTGCTGGAGCGGTGTGTCTGAAGGTCCCTAATTTTGAGTGGATGCTCCCATTTCAACATCACCTATTGTGTGAGTGCTGTGGAACAAGTTTTGGAAGTGATGTCTAGAATCATTTGAAACACAACAGGTCAGAAGTCACCCCAAAATTGTCATGGATCTTTATAGGCAGCCTTAACTTGGGATCTTTCCACATTTTTCCACCATCCAGGGGCTTCCCGAGGACAATTTCAAGAAGTATGAGGAGGGTTGCTCTGCGGACATCATCGCAGCGGCTCCGCACTAGGCGCCATGGGTCTTGGTTCCTGTCAGGGCAGAAGAAAACAGCTGCCGGTTGGGATATTTGCCACCCCCCTAGTATTGAACACCCCCGAAATGGGCCCAATTTTGTGGAAAATTTCCCAACTAAACCGTGGTTTCCAGGGGGTGTTGAATGTTAGAGGGATGGGATTATTCGCCAACCCTCTGATACTCTAATTTGGCAATGGAAAATCCCCCTAGGCATGACTTTCCTGTACAGAAAAAAGTGACATGGATGTCTCATTCACAGGTGAGATGACCAGAGAGGATCCCAAAATTTCTATCTTTTTCTTAGAGCCTCCATCCGCATCGCTTTTCGGCTCTCCACAGGCGAAACTCGTGGGAGTTTTTGCCAATTTATAACATCTGGCCTGGAACCCAATGGCTTGGGCCTTTGGGGATAAGGCCGGTTTTCAGCGGTCTAAAAAACAGTTGGTCAGTTGGATCTAAGATGATCCAAGATGGGTAAAAACATGGCCATTTTTTTTGGACCGTTGGAACATAGGTCGCCATTTGAAAAGCACCCGTGGCGGTGTTGAAGCGCACCGTTTTCGAAGGCTTCCCCCGGTGGCGGCCTTTTTGTGGCCCCTGTCGAACTAGCACAGTCCCACTGAGTCATGGCTGTGGCCTGGAGGGACGAATTTTATGCTTGAAGGGCAGGGTTTGGAGGTGCTCCACAAAACCAGTCGACACGAGTCCAAAGTACATTCAGTTGCACCAAGCGGAGGCCTTGTCGGGGTTATATTTTTCATTATTTTTCCATCAGCGCCTTTTCGCAACATGTTTTAAATGTGGAAATCAGCACAACTCTTTGAGATAATTTGATATATTTGATATTATCTCGTATTATTTCAATTCATTTGATGTAAATGTAACCTGAGACATGGTTGCCATCTCTGGCAGTGATTGTTGGGAAACAGATCTACTGTAGCAGATTTCTCAGTTCTGAAGGGTTTCAATGGTTTCATGGAGCATTTGTCACGTTCGGGTGGTCGTATTGATAGGGTGCCACCACCTTTGACAGCACCCGCAGAAGCAGAGCGGGTGGATAGAAAGCAGCGCGTGGTTTCGATGCAGCACACACCTGCGGCTTGTTGTGCATCATGAACGCAGGATGACGGAATAATATGCCGTGCAATGCCTTGCACATGTACTGTATGTATATATATATATGTATATATATATATATAAAATTAATTATAATTATATATATTATAGATAGCACAATGGTACATCATGATACAGTATATCAATACCTAGGACCTAGACGGGCATGATGATTCAATTTGAGTTTTTTTTTTGCGTATTTATTTGTACATTATAATTAATGAACTATTTACATATAGAATATAATGATATGTATTAATTATGTATTCATACATACAATTATACTACAATATACACTGTGTATATATAATTATATATATAATCACATGTATATTTATATTATGTATGTATACAGACATCATATAAATAAGTACAAGCACCCATTTCTTTGGTGCTTCACTCCCTTTCGCCATGTCCTGTACGTTGGGGTCGATATTTTAGGCGAAGCATATGCCTGGAATCCTATGCGCCCATCCATGGATGGTTAGGCCTGCATTTTGGCAAAGACATCAAAAATAGGTCACCTAGGGTTCCAGGCCTATATGTCTATGTATGATAAAGACTGGATGTATTCATATATATATATGTATACATATACGTACGGTACTTTATACATATATATATATATGGTATGTACAACATTATATAATTATATATATATATATATATATATATCGTCACTATTTATGTCAATTATAATTATCATCATATTCTAGTGTATCCATCCCACAATTATCCAAATTTTCATGCCATCTCAAAAGGAACCCACCTTTTGCAGATGCAGAGCTAGCGCAGTGGCTGCCCGCAGCTGCATCAGTTTAAAGATCTCCCTGGGCGAGATGCGAGGGTCGGTAATGGCATCCAAAAAGCTTTCCACCAAAATGAGGTTTGAAACAACCATTCAAAGCTGAAATGGCTTGTAAGATGATCTTCTAGATCTGGATTTTTCATATCTCTTCATGTTTTCCGGCAATAACATTTTTTAGTTCGTTTGGGGTGAAAGTAACTTCTACTTTTGGCTTGTGTCATTTAGCTATTCGTACACTACATTGTTCGGACGAGGACTGTATCAAGAAAGTGGACGAACTTGATGGATTTGCCACATCATGTGACTTACCATAGATGAAATTGAGCCTCCAGTAATCAAACGTGGCAATTGGACAATCCCCCATTTATACTCATTTACCATCTGGTTATTTAAAATAGCCATGGAAAATCCACCCATTTTTAATAGGTATATAAACCATCTATTTCTATGGGCCATCTATACATGGCGAACTGTTAAATAACCAGAGGGTATTATTTATAGATGGTTTTCCCATTGGGCCCTCCATTTATAATGGGGATTTCCCAGCTACGTTTGATGACAAGAGCCATGTCGTCCAAAGGGGATTGGATGAATTTGGATGAATGAAGACTGAAGACCCATCATTTAAATCCTATAAGGATGTGGAAGAATCACCATCATGGTGGATTAATATGATGGTGATATAATGTTGATATAGTTAATATAATAGTTAACAGCATATTGGATTAATATTAACATTTAATATATGTTGATATAGTTAATATAATGCTATCTCCCACAGTAACGCAAAACACACTGTCCACATGCCCGGCCTCTCAGTGAATCGCGGCTCCGACACTAAAAAAAACACTGTCGCTGATTGAGAAAACTCGACCGAAAAAATATCTCGAAAAAAACGCGACGTGGCACTCAGATAGATTCCATGAAGGATTTTGCCCGAGGTGGACCAGGATTCTGTGTCTATATGCCTGCCACAGGTGGGGAGTAGTTGATTTATATGCTCCAGGAAAGATGGGACATTTATGGGTTTCAGGTGCAAATTGCCATGTACAAAAGTGGTTGATGCAAATTGCATGTGTCAATTCACGGTGAAACAGATTGATCTATCATCGGTCCCACATGGACTGTGGTTCGGCGTGGTACTGTGCATCATCCGTGTTGCTTTCAGGGGTTCAATCCCTGGCGGAGTCTGGCTGATGAAACTGATATGGAGACCAGAGACCCAGTTCAGAACTCACTTAATTTGATAGGCAGGAGCAGCTGGATGTGCTTTGGGTATGGTTTGACTGACCTTCTCAGTAAGTTGGACACTTTGTCAGCGTCATCTGGCAACATCAAAGCAAAGTAACATGCGGACCGTGAGAAACAAAATCAGCATGATATTTGGAACTCCAAAACTATCACAAACTCACAGCAGCACGTATCTGTGTCCAACGTCAGAAACGTCAAGTTCAGCAACCATTGCTGGTTCAGCACCACGATACGTCGAGCCTTGGGCCTCCATGGCGGCCTCGGCGCAAGGCCGACCGGGCCGACCGTTGGGAAGGCCTCCATAGCAGTGATTTTTCACCATCCAACGATGATTTGACCATGAAACATGGGGATAGTCATCAGGGGGAGTAGATACCATGGCAAAAATTATGGGAATCTCATGGGAATACCATGGGATACGGATATGAGTTTCTATCAAAGTCGTGGATTTACCACCCAATTTGGTGGCCAATTTGATGAAGTGATGATCAACCACGGGATTTTCTTAGACAAGCACCATCGTTTGAACGATTGATCCGCCATCATATTTGAGATGAAAGAGGAACTGGATGGAACTGGGGTTTTAGTTCATTTTGGGCCCTGGGGCCTGGGGCTTTGGATATTTGGGTAAAAAAGGTCATCCAACCATGAATAGGGTGCCCATAGTGCCCATTGTAAGGAATGCACTTCAGAAAGGTGCAACAATCCGACATATGGCATGGAGTTTCGACCATGGCAGATGGGGGATGGTATAGTACAACTTTAAAACCAAAATCGAATCACGAAAATCGAGTGGTGATTTTGACGATCCAAACTTTGAGATCTATACTTCGAGTGGATCTTCTGGGGTGAAGATTTCCCCCCAAAAAGCTGTAGACTTCACAGCCAGTTGATGCCAGTTGTGTTTGCTGAAGCAACCAAACGACCAAACCCTGACCGACCTCCTGCAGTGTGATGGGAATTGATAGGGGTTTTGTAAGCCCCAAATTGGTTGATTTCAGAGTACTTGGTGGCTCATTCCACTTAGTAAGTGGGTTATAACTCTATAGTTATAAGTGGATTAACCCTACTTATCCCATTTATAACTGGGGTTATAACCCACTTACTAAGTGGGATGAGCCACCAAGTAGGGAATTAGTACAGTATGTTTTAGTTGCCCAGATTCCTAGAAATTATCCAACTGGTGATGGGTATAATGGCAAACAGTCCACTTAAGGAACCATGATAATTTGCCCAGAATGAACCAGCAAGACCACTGCAGCAGTGGTGTGACAAGCATCATTGCTTGGATTTCTACTAGATATCTTTTTAATGTAAGAACATTACTTGTCATCACAAGAATCCTCCTTTATCCACCAAATAGAAGAGGAATCCTTATGTCTCCTCAACAAACACATCTATTACTGTAACCACCAACGCCGTTGATGGGGAGATAACGTGGACAAAAGAACTATGTCAATGCCTTCAAAATTGGATGGGTTGACAACTTGAACCACCACGAATCCCTTCCAACCAGAACAGGAGAAGAGTCCCCAATGTTGGCTTGTCTAAAAATAGGGGTTACTGCACCTCCAAATCAAATGATTTATTTATTTTTATCATTGTTTTTACCAATTCAGACTAAGCCTGGATTCCGCACTCTAGAGACGAACCACAGGTATATTCTGTCAGCTGATTTTTGCGACTGGAATCATGAATTTCTCGTTTTTGCGAGGCCTACTGTAACCCTTGTGGTCTCATGGTTTCGTTGCAAGACACGACCAGGTGGCACAGCTAGCGGCTCTGACCTCACCTCCTACGAATCGGTCTTGGTGCGGCACTGAGATTGGTGGATTTTCAGTCCTGGGATTAGGGCCACCTTGCAGCCACAAGACCATTGTTGCAAATAAATTGCTAAAGATAAAAGGTGCTTTCTGAAAGATGTTCCCCAAAAACCTGGTTGTTTGAGAAAAAAACATAAAATTCTCAAGAACTTCAACAAGTCGGGTCTCTTTTACTTGTTGATGCATTCGCATTGCCTGAAAAAGGCAGTCAAAGATAGCAATGGAATGCAAGGCTGGCATTTCACTGAAAAGGATCTATACACATAATTTTAGATTCTGAGCCGTGTTTGATTGATAATTTCAATAATTTCCCCTTGCCATTATTTTTTGATATTTTCCCCTTATACAAAATTCGTCTAAATTCATCTAAATTCGATCATTTTCCCCCAAGTTTGATCATTGGGTACAACTCTCTCCCCATCCTTGTGGCTCCAAAACGCCAAGGCACAGAATGTGCAGCTAAGACTCGACTTGCAGCACGAGACCCAGTACCATCCAGTACCCGGTAGCGATCCCATGGGATTTTCCCATGGATTTTTCCCCATGAAAATGATCAGAACTGGAGAAGCATTTGGGGGTAGAAAATTCTTCAGTTGGATCCACCCTTGAATCGACTTAGGTCTGCGCTCACTGAGCTCTCTCGCAAGGAGGATGCTGGGATGGGGATGATAGAAACCATTGTAGCTGGATAATGGATATCGATGAGGTAGCTGGTGGTTTCGCTTCTTATGACTTCGCTTCTTATGGCTTCTTATGATGGCTTTCACCAATGCAAACCAGATTATGTTGCGGTGAAACCACCCACCGGAGCGACCAAAATGGTGACGTGGTTGTGAACACAGGGTCACCAGAGAGTTCATAAAAGACTTGTATATACCGTTATATACCTGGAAATGCCATAGGAAGAAAAGATCTCAACTGATCTCAGATCATACTCTGACTTCTCAAAAAGCTGCCGATTGTGGTGACTCCTTTTAATTTTCGGAGATCTTTTGACAAGGTACTTGTATCATCTTGTATCACCCAGATCTGTGAAAAGTGCTGCAGACATGTTCATGTTTCAATCCAAAAACATCAAGTATACCAGTATACTAAGATATACTAAGTATACCTGGCATATCCTGGGAGAACGATTCAAATTGGGTCAAGCATCAGCCCCTCAAAGGGGAAATCTCCCGCTGCACCGTCCTGGATCGAGCTTTTTTGGGTCAACCCGAGCTACACCGTGGAAGACACGAGCTGAGCAGCTGAGGCATTTCTGGAAAGTTCCCGACGGCCGGAAAAAAAAACACAAACTGCATCAACGGGGAACCCGGGGAACCCTTGTTATAACAACTTATAGAAACTTTAATATATAAACTGTCCATAACTGTCCTGAATACGTTGCACAACGTCAGCACCCGATTCACATCATCTATTGGATCTTCTCGCTTGGTGGCCATTGTCAAAGCAAGCAACAACACTCCTGAACTGTCTCACCAATTTCCAGCATGATGAACTGCGCAGGCAAAACAGAGGATCCACAGAGGTTTCAACATGTTTCAACTATTTGAACTACACATCTTCAAATCATTAAAGGCTCGGCCCGGCTATTCCTTAAATGATTCATTTCTGATAGGGGTATGGGTCAATACCTATAGATACCTATTTTTAGTGGGTTATTCACATCCATAAATCCCAGCTATGACTTGGGGTTCACTAGGTACCAGGGTTTTGACCCATCCCCATAGGAATTGCCCTCGCCATGCAGCCTGTCCCCTGGCGTTTTGCGCCGCCGTTGCACGCTGTGCCGCATGGGACGAATGCTGCCGCCCCTGGGGCGGGGCACGTCGCACCGGGGATGGTGGTGTCTTGGCAGCTGCAGGCGGCACAACATGGGTGTGTCTGATCTACCAAACTAGTAATTTCCCTGGGGAAATGATGAAACTATATCAAACTATCCTTCAAGTTTTGGGGTACCCTATTTTCAGACGAACCCATATGACATATGACATATGACATCATATGACAATTTTTAGAGGGGGTTCTGACTAAACATCTCAAGAACTTTTGGGGGTTCACAAGTCAAATGGAGGATTCAGCATGGTTTAGCCAAAACATAGCTGTGGATGACTTCCAGAATTGGTTACAGAAAACCAAACCATCTTTGATACGTACTAGAAACAAAGTCCCATGTGATATCCTTAATATGTTTTCCCCTGACCCCTGCAAGTTACAGAAAAAAACTAGTCTCAGCATGGCAGCCCCAATATTGCGAACAGACGCAGGGGTTTGCCAAACTCCAACTTTGAGGATGCGGTCTTGATGTCGGATTCAACCAGCCCCCCAGCCGGTGAAGCCTCCAAAAATAGATGGAGTTGATACGCCTTTCATAAACCCAACCATAATTTTTAAATATACTCAAAGGCTCACCTTTTCGAGGGTTGATCTTCCAGGCCATGGCCGTGGCTGCAGCTGTGGTTCTCCGAGTGGAGAGGCGGTTTTTGGGTCTCTTTTTCGGGGATGGATGGGATGGGCAAAGACCAAGTAACACTGGGGAGATATATAAAGTGAATCTCATAGCATAGCCACCATGGACCATGGATATTGGGATATATTGGGTTTGTCCTTAAAATTGAGGATGCCCCAAAATGGAAAAAAATGCACGGAAGAATGATGATAACAACTAAAAATACGGGTTTTGCTACACCCAAACGGATACAGGTTCCCCATCCCAAAATGGGGGTAGTAGTTCAGTTCACATACCAACCAGCCAACTATTCTGGCAACATGTTTTGGATGTGAACTGGAGGGGTACAGGGTTTTGACATGTTTTGACCCCCAGCCGAATGCATAATCTTCCAAAACCATTCGCAACCTATAATTTTCACATTTGAATTTGAATGGGGATGAAGATGGGTACGTTACCGGCGTGAACTGACACGCAACCAAATATCCACCGGCATTGCAGAACGCATGCTGAGCTGGGAACCTATTGTTACCATTGGGGGAACACACATCCATTAACCAGCTATTTTAGGGTACCAAAAAAGGGTCCCAGGGTTTTGATTCATAGCCATTTCTGGTTGGTCGTTCACGTCGAAAGCTCGTTCGATTCAGGCAGCGTTTGCGAGCAAAGAACTCCGTGGGGTCCCAGATTTTTCCCCAACGGGATGATCCATAAAGTTAGGTCAAAACATCACCATTTCAAACTTGTCCATAGATATATACATAATTATTAATGTACATATTATGTAATATATTTATATAACTTATCCATAGAATTCCATACATGTTCAGTACCTTTGGTACGCCAATGATTTAGCGGGGCACATGTGAATGCCGTCCCCCGCTCAAGATCTTTGTGCTCAAAGATTCAGGTCCCCGGGTCTTGTCCGGCTTTTTATGGAAATCCCGATTCTGATTGGGGCTCTAGTGGCTGGCATTGGAGTCGGGTTGTCTTTTTCTTTCGAGCACAAAGGGGTGACACCACCTGAGCCTCGCCCTTGTTCCTGCGAGTGTCACTGTGCTTCACCTTTGGCACGGGAGGATCCTTCAGCGGGATTGCGTGATCTAGTCCTGTGTGGACTGCTGACCATTTTGGTAATTTGTGTCGCGATCTTGATTGGCCTCCTTTTTCTTCAATCCCAGTCCAAATTTGAAGTGACCGGAAAGGGCAAAGGCCGTAAAGGATCTCTCGGAGTTGGAGTCCCCCTGCGAATCAAGGATGGCCCAGATGTTGCCCGGTGATGTCTGCTACGTGGATTACGGTGAGATGCCAGCATGTATCCATGTTCGCCTCCTTGGTTGTCAGATTCAAAATGACATCTGGGCAATTGTGACGCCAGATGGCGACATCTACGATGAGCAGATGTCGTCAAGTAACCCAGACTTTACCCAGTTCTTCTATGGGGGACATGGCATAGGTGGAGTTCTTCCGCCGGGCGTGCCTGCTGCTGTGGTGTATGGCTTTGGGGCCCTCACGGCCGTGGAATACCAGCAGTATCTTGCACAGTGCAGGGTCTATGCTGCCGGGGCAAGGGCCCTCCTTGGCCTTGCACCCCAGCCTGCTGGCAATGCTGTGCCCGCCCAACCTGCTGTTGCCTCAGGAGAGCCAGAGGTTTGGGTGACCTTGGAGCAGATTGACGGCGTAGTGCCTGGCCAAGTAGTGGTAGACGTTGGCGGAGTGATGCCCGCTGGACATGTCCTCCTAGGTGACCGAGCCCTAGTCCCCGTGAATGGCAAGGTCGTAGCACTGAAGAAGATCAAACGAACTGAGGTTCAATCTCTGACAGCGAAGGATCTCAGAGTCCTGCCCATCAAGTTCGATCAGCAAGGGTCTCGCCGCAGGGATTTCCCAGATGCTGTGGCCAACATGTCCTGTGACAAACTTCCTGGAGGCGAGCTGCAGCTGGAAGGTCCTGCAACCACGCTTGAGGTCCTCAAGTCCCTGTCCATGAGGAGCCTGACACCAGTGACAGATCATGAGAGGTGGATTCGTAGCAGTGAGATCTCCAAGACCGATCGCAGCATCTATGAAATGGAGGTGTTGTCCAAGGTCATTGAAGCGTTTGTCATGGTGGACCAAGTCAATCTCCCAAATTTGAAGGGTGGAGAGCTTTTGATCCGGAGGTGGCAACTGATCAAGGAAGCACACCGCTTGAGTCCTCTGGCCCCAGACTACTCTGCTGCCGACCTCTTTATGGGATGGCAACAGGAATCAGGAGTCCAGCAGACTTTGGCAAAACATGTGTCAGACCAATTGCGGGATCAGGCTGCCATTGCTAAGGAGGCCCGAAAGGCCCGTGAAGAGGCTGAGAATCGTCAAGGCAGAGGCCGAGGCCGTGGACGAGGCCGAGCCTCTGCCGAGCAGACATGAGCACTTGGGTGAGGCACTTCGAGGATCCAGCGAGTGCCTTTGACCCTTCACAACTGGATCAAAGTTTTGATGTCGGGATGGAAGATATGGGATCTTCTTTTTGTCCCCAAGTTGAGCCTTCTATCTCAAGGTGGAGGGATCTTTTACCGCTGCCCTTCGTCAATCAGAAGGGGATTTCTCATTGCGGTGCTTTTCAGTCAGTTGGTGCCAAGAGGAGATCTGTAAGAAGGTCTTCTAATGCTGAGATTGTCAACGGCATTGTCACCACTTTGAACGAAATGGCTGGTTTTGCGCACCCATCCAATGAGAAGCCGAGCAAGGCGCAGAAGCTTGCTCACCAACAGCTGCTTTGTCAAGTTGCACGGATGCCCCGCTGTGCACACCGTGTACAGATGCGTGAGGCCGTTCATGAGCTTCTGCACACTGGCCTGTCTCCCTATGCGACGGAAGACGAGGCTCGAAGCACAGTCCGATCCTACAGCAAGGGTTTGGTTTCCCTTCCTGAGTCTGGTGCGTCGGTTTTTCAGGCGTCGGAACTTTTGGATGAAGCTGGCCGAGACTTTTTGTTGGATCCTCAAACACATTTGTTTGTCGAGCATTTTGATGCCAAGTCTAAGGTGAAACCTTACATGGATGAAGTTTTGAGATTTGATGACCACGCCTATCATGATTTCATCGGGGATCTCTGGGAAAGGGGAATGTTGACTTTTGGGCATAGCTGCAGAGCATCGATCACCCCTTTTTTCGTGGTGAAGAAGTCGGGAAAGCTCAGACTGGTGCTGGACTGTAGACAAGCCAACGAACACTTCAAGCCACCTCCTGACATTGCTATGGCAGCAGCCTACAGCTTTGGTCAGTTGGTGGTTGAACATGATCAGGAGGTGTTTGTGGCTCAGTCTGACATCAAGGATTATTTCTACAGCATTGGTCTTCCTGATTATCTACATCCTTTCTTTTCCTTGCCTCCCATCAGGTCAGACCTGCTGAGTGGCCGCATTCCTGAGCTATGTGGCCGCGACCCCAGCCTAGTGATCTTCCCTCAGATGAAGGTCGTTCCAATGGGTTGGAGTTGGGCTATGTTTTTTGCACAGCGCATTCATCAACACCAGGTCATGATTGGTGCGGGCATTCCTCACCACCGAGTTCTGGCCGATGGTAGGCCGGCCCCTGTTTTGAAAGATGAGTCTGTGGTCATCGTTCCTTATGCAGACAATTTGAATGTCATTGGCACGAATAAAGATGAAGTCCAAAGAGTAAAAGATCAAGCAGTGGCCCAGCTCCGGAAGGTTGGTTTTCGCGTCCATGAAGAAGAGGATGCATCTCTGGAGGCAAAGGCTCTGGGGTTCATCATAAATGGTTCAAAACGAAAGATTTTCCCTGTTCCTGAGAAACGTGACAAGGTAATACAATGTTTGATTTGGCTATCACGGCGTCCTCGTGTGAGTGGGCGGGTTGTGGAGCGAATCATCGGTCATTGTGTGCATTTTTTCATGTTACGTAGAGAGATGCTTTCCATTTTCAGATCAGTTTATGACTTCAAGACTGCACACTACAACAAGCAAGTGCGGTTGTGGAGGTCAGCTGCTGATGAGTGCAGATGGGCAGCTAACCTGCTCTGGATCTGTGAGTCAGACATGGGAAAACAGTGGAGCGGGGAGGTCACAGTTTCAGATGCTTGTTTGTCGGGCACGGCCGCATGTTCCATGGAGATTCATGCAAAGGATGCTGCTGAGATTGGCAGCACCCGAGAGCTGTGGAGATACAAGAGTAGAAGCAGCTGCGTGAAAGCTAGGGAAATTGTGCGTCAACTTGATCCTTTTAAGGACATCGAAACTGTTTCTGCCGAGCTTCCACGGTTAGATCCTTTTCAACTCAATTTGGATTTCCAGAATGTTCCGCAAGAGCTTGCTCAGTCAGATCACTGGAAAGTTCAGTTTTCATCGCGCATGTTTCACAAGGAACCCATAACTGTCATTGAAGGCCGGGCCACTGTCCAGAGCATTAGACATAAGACGAGATCTTGCAAACACTTCAACAAGCGACATCTTCATTTTGGGGACAACTTGGGTATGGTTTTGGCATTTGATAGAGGTAGGGCAAAGTCATTTTCACTTCTTTTGTGTTGCAGAAGAGCTTGTGCTTTTTCCCTTGCCGCTGGATGCCAATTCCATCACCGCTGGCTGCCTTCAGAGTGGAACAAAGCTGATGGCCCGTCGAGGAAGTGGGAAAGGGAAGCGGTCCAGGCCCCCCCCAGCAAAAGGGGTTGCCAAAGGACCATCTCTGAAATCATCTATCCCACGGACTCAGCGAGGCAGTTTGAAGCAGTTGGCAAAGTCAAGAGATGGGCTTCTCATCCATGCTCTAAAGGAAGCGGTGGCCAAGGAGACCAAGCTCAAGGCGCCTCTGTCCTTCAGTCAAATGCGGATGACAGTGAAGGGAAAGAACAGCGAGGAAAGACGAAAGAATCGAGCCCAGGTGATCAAAGAAAAAGTAAGTGTCCCACGCTTTGCAGGTCAGACTCCTTTAGAGATGCTGGCAGTTTCACCACGCACGGCAGTCGACTATCATTGGAGGGTTTTCGTGTTTCAAAACTTTTGCAGTTTACTGGAGTTGAGAACCAACACAAGCTCTCAAGTAGACCATGCGTTGACTGTTTTTCTCAACCAAAGCTTCGAAGAGGGGCTGGACATTTCAGAGGCGCAAAAGGCATTTGCAGCAGTACAAGAAGCTTTTCCAGTTGTAGGTCGTCAAGGTCTAAGCCGCAGCCGGAGGTCTTTGAAGGGTTGGAAGAACCTAGATCCAGGTCAAAGTCGAACACCACTGGCCTGGCCCTTCATCAGTCTCCTTGCTTTGACCATGATGCAACTGGGAGAGGTCAGATGTGCTCTCTGCATTCTCACCATGTTCACAACTTACATTCGTCCATGCGAAGCTCTGAAGCTGTTGAAGAGGGATGTAGTCAGGTCAACGGACTTGGGGGTCAGTTGGGCTCTCAACGTGAACACGTCCGAGGAGGCTCAACAGTCAAAAGTGGGGCTTCAAGACGAGGCTATGCTGCTAGACAACAAGATGCTGGACTACCTAGGCCCAGCCCTGGGCGTTCTGCCGCAGGGTCTTCCTTTTACAACCTTGTTCGAAATGCAATACCCTCAGCTCCACAGAACATGGCATGCAACGCTGGCCCATCTGGGCTTGCCCATGGAGACAGCAGATCTGTACCAGCTCCGTCACTCAGGGGCATCTTGGGATCGACTCAAAAAGGTGCGTTCTCTTCTGGAAATCAAACTGCGCGGAAGGTGGAGTTCGGATGCAAGCCTGAAGCGATACGAGAGTCATGCCAAGGTTGCCCAACTCTACGAGAAACTGCCGGACAGCATCAAAAAGAGAGCAGATTCATCTCCTCAGTTATTGAAAGAGATGGTTATCGCATTTACGTCCCGACACACCCCAACATGCTGAGGCCAGTGTTGGAATTGTTTGCGGGGAGTGCTGCTTTCTCCAAGGCTATGTGCAAGCTCGGTTTCACAGTGCATGCTTATGACATTCAATGGGGACGAGGTGGTGATATCCTTGATCCTATAGTAGAAAATTGAAGACTGCTTTAGACAGGAAGACTTTTTCCTTTGTTCATTTTGGCATGCCCTGCGAAAGCTGGTCCCGTGCGAGAAAGTGGGATGGCGGACCTCCACCACTCAGGGACAATGACAGTTTTCTCTATGGGTATGACTATTTGACTGGCTCCAATCGCATCAGAGTTGAACAGGGCAATGCTTTGCTCAAGGCAACCTTTCTTCTGGCTTTGGCTGCGATTGCTGCTGGCACTCCATGGACAATTGAAAACCCTTTCAGCAGTCGTGCTTGGCTAACTTTTGAGATGACAAAGTTGCAGGAGCTTGGTGCTTTGCCACAACAAGTGCATTACTGTCAATATGGCAAGCCGTGGAAGAAGGCCACCACTTTCTTAGGGTGGAAAATTCCCAGCCTGCTTTTAAAACAGTGCGCCGGTTCCTTTGGGCAATGCTCTGCTTCTGGTCGAAAACATCTCGTGTTAGAAGGCCGAAATTCCCAAGGGGTCTTTCGCACTCTTTTGGCGCAACCCTACCCCAAGGACATGGTTGCCGATATTGCTGCTGTTTTGTTCAAACATTTGCAAAACTTGTAATCATTTCCTACCTTTCTCACAGAATACTCCGAAGTCGGGTGTGGGAAGACAAATTGATGGTGGTTGAACCTTTCATGCGTGGCATCTTCACTCAGCTTGACTTCAGATGCCCATACCTTTCAGCTATCGCATTAAGCTTCTCAGACCTGCTGCCTTGACCAAAGGCTCTTGGGCAAAATAGGCAGCCGCAGATATTCTGGCATGGAGTTGTGCAAGAGTGTGAATCATATGTATGATTATGATTGATTATATTACCATATATATATATATATATATATTGTTTTTTGATTTTGTTTGTATCATCCCAATGTCCTGAGATTTTTGGTTGCGAACCGCGACGACTGAGAAACGAAGGTAATGAAAGCGGACTGGAAAACTGGAAACCCTCCAAATCCAGTGGTTTTGAGGTCAAACATTTTTACGACACAAATTACTGTATCAACTCTATACTGTAAATCACCCTTTGCAGACCAACTGACGAGTCATTTTTTGAACCACCACCCAAGAGTTGCAAATATCCCAAAGCATTTTTCACACCATCTGCGGATCAAGTCGCGGTCGTGTCGCGACAGAAAACATGCATCCGTATTGTGGGATGGTTAAGATGTTGCAGAAGTGTTGATTATTATTCTTGATCAAACATAATTGAAATTTCAATACATTCGCGGACATACAGATGCAACGGCCACAGCAAAGAGTTGGTTTTCGTCTGTTGAACCTTGGCTGTAGACTCCACTCCCTCTTTTCCGACGTGTCGAGCGATGGGTTGTGGCGGATCGAAAGTCGTAGTGGTCACCTACAACTTGTTCCCTGGCTGATATGACAGAATCAAACGTGGCAGCAGGAAATCCCAGCAAATGGATGTTTATGTTCAGTTGCCATGTTTGATGACCAGAGGGATCTGAAGGGTCCAGGGGTCGTCCATTCCTGCAGATTTTCGCTGCATTCACTTCTGGAACAATGGCCTCAGTCGTCATTGACCATTCCTTGAGATGGAAGGCAGGTACGCACAGTTCATGCACAGTTCAAGCAATGCACCCGTTTACCAGGTCGATCCAGGTCTTCGAAATCTCCCACTACAAACCACCTGCAGTGTATTTTTCTTGACCTCAACAGTTTTTCGTGGGTCGTCCTGCAGAGTAGGGGGCAGGGCCCTTGTTGTCTCCCTCTGAGCCGCTCCGTCAGGTTTTGGTGGTGCGTTTCAGATGACTCTCAGCCATTTCAAGATCCCTGTGGATGTGGGTCACGTTCGAAACCCATGGTGATGTCCACGTTTCACTGCTACATCCCGTACTGTATGTCTGCCAAAACTGGTGGATACTGGATACTGCAGATACCCCAACAAGGATAGGTTTTCCCCGTACAAATAACGAGTTCTTCGTGGGTCTTGTGGGACTCAAATCTGGGACAAACCCATGTGGAATGCCAGATTTGGCCTTGATAATCATTCGATTCATTCGATTCGCTGAACGGGCTAACTGAGGAATACAAGACGTGCTCTCAGTTCAAGGGCAATAAAGGCCAGGGCGTTGCCGGGAAGTTGGGGAAGGCTAAGTCTGGGTAAACCTTGCACGAACAGTGCATAAATACTCTTATGATCTCTTGTGTATTACTGTGTGTATTCTTATGTGATTTAAGTTGTTTTTGCCGAAAACGGATGTTACAGACAAATTTTGACCTTTGTGTTTCCACCCTTCGGACAGTTCAGAAACGTCAGTTTTGTTGGGGATGTGCTCATCGTTGGCTGCAACGATTGGGGGAAGCATCAAACATACTGAAGCTTTTGTTTGACATTATGCCGAACGTTTAACGGATGTGTTTGAAAATAGGGGATAGTACCGCAAATGGCTATTTTGATGCTAAAAAAATGATGGTTAAGTGGATTTGTTGGTAGCCTATTTTCAGACTAAACCCATTCGAAGATGGTGGAATGTCCTGCAAAGTACAGTACCTGGTGTGCTTGGGATGGAGATGGTCTGAAAATGTATGTCGAGTCTGATGCAGCTTCAGAGTTCATAGGTCACATGTTGTAACATTTCAAATTCTGAGCATTGGGTGCTTTCCGTTTTTTGTGGAAAGCTGGAGAATTGGCGTCCTTAAGTTGAGTTGACATAATATTAGCGTATCATTAATGATATATGATGTATATCCACCGGTCCACTGTTTCGTACCCGACTTGGCTGGAGACTGCTGGGGTGTTTTCCCCAGCTTCCGACATCCGACCTGGGGAGAGATCGGATGGTCGGAGCTGAGGCTTCCAGGAATTGTTCCACACGAAGCTTGGCGCGTTAGGAAAACACAGATGGCTTTGCCAAAAGGGCCGTTTGTTTAGAATGGCAGGTTAGACTACCAGGTGAAGAATGAATGGCATGAATGGCACTATTTGGCATTTTTTTTTGGAACGGACAGAGGTCCGGGTGTTTTTCACGAAGCAGGATGGCTGGGAAGCCGGTAAGTTTTGCATGACTTTAGAAGAGTGTCTGCCAGCTGGCTACGTCAATTGTTTCAATTCTTCATATGGCTCGATTTTCTGGGTAAACTGCTAAACTGCTAAACTGATAAACCTTGCTTGGATACTTCCCTTTGGGCAAGTCTTGGTTGGGATAGGTGGGCACTCCCTAAATTTATGGCAATGGATGGGGAATCTGACGACGAACACCGGTGGATTTCAGGTACCACATGTTCGGACAAATCCAATATATTATATACAGTAGTACTGTATATAATTCATGCATCATTGGCATATTATATTAATATATAATTATGTAATATATTATGTAATGTATACATATATACGTATATATATATATAATTAGTACGTATGATATGCAATTGTACTTGCTGGTATATATACATATATAGATAGTTGATGTCATATGATCTCTATGTACTTTCCAATATTCAGGTGACCAGTCACAACTGGTTGGGGTCCATCGTCATATCATCAATCATTGTACCTAATTTTACCGGCCCAACCAGGTAGTTGACTTGCTTAACTAGGCTTATCTACCAGTTCAATGGGCTGATTTCAGAAACTTCGATGCCAGTTATATCCCAGTTACACCAGCTGAGACCGTCCCGCAGCTCACCCAGGATTCATCAGAACGCCGGGCCCATGGATTTGGTGGGTTTCCAGGTGTGGGATGACGGCTGTGCAGCTGTACTGCAGTGTTTTCTGTGTTTTTTAAATCCACATCTGTACAATTCAGTGCATCTAGTTTGAACATGTTTGAACATGTCAATGTGCAAGAATCAATAATAATTATATATAGAAACTAAACAAATGGAGTTGCACGGCACGATGAGTTTGATCTGGTTTTGATGAGCAGAGTGACTTTTCGTCACACGGTTTTCTTTGGTTCAATGGATCCATGGTGGCCGAAAATCACCAGCCACCGTCAGCAGCAACAAGAAATTGCAATTTTTGTTGCTAACACAAAAAGGGTGATACCCATGTCAGACTGACAGGGAGGAAGAGTTGTTGATTCAGGTTGATCTAGATACCACATTTCTTTCAAGTCATGCGGTTCATCATCGGTTTCTCAATCTTTAACAGTCATAGATTGGTCGACAGCAGACGTGTAAAAGCACGCCTGTCACTTATGGCATGCAGCCGAAGTTTCACTCGGTTTCTGATGGACCTGCTTCTCCTGCGGCTGCCCGAGTAATTGGCAAGTCTGAGTATTTGGACTGGGAGCAGGAAGTGATTGATGCCTTTTATAGTCCTTCTCAGCGTCTTACAGATTTGATGCCTGTTAATGGGAAACCTGCAGTTCTGGTGAAACGAAAAATTATTTTGTACGTTTTAGAATCTGGTGGAAAAACTGCGGAGATGGTGGCTAAAAGCTCAACTTTAGACTCTTCCGACTTGCCTTCAAGGAGGTTGACCATGTTTCATCGGGGCTCGCAGTCCTTGGACTCGGTCTCCCATGGATTGAAAGGTGCTGCTTTTCTGCATCCAGCCTGTGACCTTGGAGGTCTGACCAACTACAAGCAGATGTTGGGAAAAGAAGCGGAACACCAAGGAGAGGTTCTCGAAGTTCACAAAACGAGCCAACTGGCAGATTGCGCCAAGTTGGTCTTCCAACAATGGGCAGAGCTGGCGGGAAAAGAATTCCCGGAATCTTTTGAGGCTGATTTGAAGGCGTGGTTAGTCTCGGCATTAATGGCATTCCAGACTGGCATCCAGCTGCGATTTCTTGTACTGCCAAACGAACATCGCATTGTGGCCACTGCAGAAGATGTAAGAGCGAGGACTGGCAAATATTTCACAAGATGCTTCAGTGGTTCCGCAGACGAGTTTGCAGAGGAATACTGCGGTTCAGAATTATTTTGCGGTATCTCAATCAAATACATCACTCCAAATCTGAACAACCACAACCTTTCCAATGAATATGCAGTATATGCAGCATGTGAGCCTTCAGAACCCGATGACATCCGATGACCAGCCCGGACACCAAAGGATGCGATGTGGCACCAAGCCACCCAAGCGCTGAGGGTTGGATGATTGGATGTGATTCGAAGGAAAAGAGTTTTTCTGTCATTGACTCATGGATTTGATTTTGTTCATGTGCTGTATATAAATTCATAAATCATGTCCATACTACACTGTGTATATATATACCTTGATCTTCCTGCCTTGTCTTTTTTTAGACCCTTGGGTTTTGAGCTAAAATTTCTGCCCCTGAATTTGATTTCAGCCCCTTAGCAAAATTTCTGCCCCTGGCTATTTTCACTTTTGGGCAAGTACCATCTAAACACATATAAACACACAGTATGTGAACAATTGTTTCACAATTTCATATATGCTTGAGTGGGATCATGATATGGTTTCCAGTCTTTGTCCACAGCCAGTGTCTCACATACACACTACCTTTTCCCAACCACAAAAGCATCGTCAAACTCAAGAGCAGCTGGCAATCCATCGTCACCTCGTTCTGTTGTTCTTCTTGAACCGTTTGATCACAAATTTCATTCTGATCCGGTAGGCAAGCAATGTGTTGTGAACCAAATTCTTATAGCCAACTCGCCTGGATTGGCGCCCAACCTGCCCCACAAAGTCCTCGCTCATTGATGTGTCCCACACACCGGCATTGAGAGTGTATTGGTTTGCCCGGGAACTTTCAAGATCCACATATATGTGCCCAAGAGAGTGTGCCTTAGGCACAAGCCCAAACAATGTCATCTGCCGGCCATATGCATGAGCTGCTAGGCGACTGTAAGTGTGACAAAAGCCCCGGCACATTTTGCAGATGTAATCCCGACACTGGGGGTTAAGCCACAGCCCATGGCGATGAAATCCTTGGAAGTTCAAACCTTGTTCAGATCCCTTTTTCACAAGCCGCACTCCCTCCGATGTGTTTCCATGACATATTTGAAGTCCAGAGAACCATTTCAAATACTGCAGCAGTAGGATGGTGTCACTGCCTTTGCAGCTCACAAACGGAAAGCTTGTTGTGGTGCTGTAGTGAAGCTTTTCCTTTGAGAAACTCCTCATTGAAGCTGGCTTTTTGCCATCCGTTTCGCAAAATAGAAGAAATGACGCCCATGCCCTACCCAACCGTCCAGGAACACTGTGATCATCACCAGGGAAATCATAAAGACCCTCATTGCAAAAATAGACGATGGCACTTGCGCAAAAGTTGCGGGCGATACCAAGTCTAAAAACATGAAAAGGATCATAGCGGAAAAACTTCGCCGACGATCCGTTGTCCCAAGGCTCAAACTGAATCGGTGCATAGGGTGGCTCCAATGACCATGGAACAGTTCTCCCAATCGTACTCTTCCATTCAGCATCTGAACGAAAACTTTCAAAAGGAATACCAGGTGCACCAGCATCGCACTGATGGCAACAAGGTATTTGGTTCACATGTCCAACGTTTCTGTATGAACGATTCAACACTCCAGTTTTCGAATGCCACTCAGCATCCCCTCTCAAACCAATGATGCCAATATGATATGGTCGGGGGTCACCATCGACATATATACCTTGTTGACAACATTCAGAAAGATCCTCCGAGATCCTGCGAAGCATGGATTTCAGGAGGCCTGGCGTGGCCTTGTATCGTTTGCCAGGGAAGCAAAACATCAGAAAGTGATGTAGGTAGCTGTGGTGGCGATTGTTCAACTTCTGAACCATAGGGTCATCAATGGAAAAGTCTTTGGAATAACAGAATGGCCTTGGACAGTGACAATTGACATCTTCTTTTGTATCTAGGCCCAGAACAGCAATCAGTGAAACAACCTCAAGTGGTTGCTTCTTGGCAGTCCTTGCTCCATCCCCATGAATCATCATAGGAATCGTTCGGGCCATGTCCAAGCCCATGCTGAAAATCTTGTGAGTTGGGTGTTGAATTTTGTATGTCTTCCAGAATGTAGATAGCAAAGAGTCTGCATCCGGCCCTGGGTCCAATCCACCAAGCAGCATCCAGGGCTCTTGGTGAAGCAGCGTGGCCAGAATGGTTCTGGGTCGATGGTATGGCATCTCGACAAGATTCGCACCTTCTTGGTGAACGTGTACTGTGGGGCGAAAATTCCTCAGAAAGTGACCGGTAGTGACACCCCAATACAAAACAACCTGTAACATTCAACCTTGGTACCCCACACATTTGTGTCATAAACATTTTTTTGGACACCAATGGGCACCGAAAACATTCAAAAAAATCAGCGGTTGCAAAAATAAAGATGTTGTAAATATAATCCTGGGTTCATAGCCATATTGAAGCGTCTCACAGACCTTTGGTATTGTCTGGAAGCGTTTTTGAGTGATCCTTTGATAACAGATCTAGTAGACTGATGCAGCATCGACGTTGAAGATCCAAGTTCCAATCGCAAAGCAGCCCCTTGTTCAGCAAATCTTTTTGCAGGGGCCTAGGTGAAGGCAACCCCAATGGTGATTATGATAGTTGGGGTGAATATGTCCATGATGGTCCATCATATGAAGAATTTGCAGGTTGCATGTATAGTTTCAATGCCATTGCCCCAAACCGTCATGTTTGAGTTTTGACAAGGTTCACCATCCGCAATTGTTTCCACCACATGCTCCAGCAAAGGCCCAGCAGTTCGCGACGCATTTGAGTCACCTGGCATGAAGTGAAATAACTAACCCAAACAAATGAAAGTGGCTACCTGAGAACATTGTTGAACCTTTTTTGTCGTTCTCGCTTCATTGGGACATCTGCAGCGGTATCATGCTGCCAATCCAACGGAAACACCCATTGCTCAAGTAGCAGAAATGAAATCCCACGGTCGCAGGATAGTGGAATGATGGATGTTATCACCCACCCATGCAAGGCCACTGTAGGTCTTGCTAACCCCAAAAGATTGCACTCTGGAGACAGATCTATGGATGAAGACAACAATACTACAACAAAAATAGCGGAAATTTTCAGAGCGTTCCATGATGTTAATTGATGTATATATTTGCACAGATCATGTCCCTGCACAGTGTTGGTACTCATCTACGAGAGCGTGAACCTGGTTCGGTTTTGATAGCCCTTCTTCGAGGGGTTTCAGTCTCCTCAGTCTCAGCCTTTTCACGCTCACGTCGTTCCCTGTTCATCTTCGATTTGATGTGGCTCATAAGTGGCCTCAGGTCAGAATAGGAGGAATAATAATTGCAATATTCGAAGTATTGCAATATGTATATATATGAATGACACCAACCAAATTATATGATATAATGTATCGATCTGGAATCATACTTGGTAAGGGTTGCAGGGGTGGTCCAAAACATCAGACAAAGGTTCCACCCTCGAGAGCCAAGAAGCTGTGTCCTCGTGACCATGTTCAGTGCTGCAGCGCACCTTGGCGAAATTGCAGATCAATATCTTTGAAAAGTTGGTTTTAAAGTCAAGTGTTGCTAAGCATTGCGTTACTTTTTAACCCCCTTCTATTTTATTGTAAAGCTCCCGAAAAGTGGTGTGGCTATCCAACTCTATTGTGTTGGTCAGCCCGGCCACCAACCACATATACAAAGAAAGGTGGATCTGGGGCAGTATGTCTGTTCAATGCCCCTTCGCCGCCCGTGTTGGGCTTGTTTCGGCAGCCACTAATCTCACAGAACAGAGCTATGAGACTGGCCTCCAACATGTGCACTAAACTTAAGTCATCATTCATGAAGATGATCCACATCGCTGTAAAATTGACTTTCAAATAGAGTTCCCAGCGTTTTGCTGGGTTGGCAGTCACCCCGATTTTGAAAACACACAGACCATCACCATGACGTGCACGGAAGCTAGAAACTTTCTGCCGCGCATGCTGCAGAATCTTTCCACATGTTGTGAACTCACTGGTGTTTGCCCGAATGTGCTTGTAAATCAAACAGCGATGTAACTCTTCCCAAGGAGGCTGGACAAATGACATTTGACCCAGATGTTGTAGATGTTCCAGTACTTCTCTGCGTTTGTTCTCCTTGTTTGCCCAACTGTTTACAAAATTATGCACTATTTTTTACCCTTGTAGGGGGTGGTAGGAACAAAAGACAACAAAAGTAAAATTCTGACAGCGTACATTGTGCTTCAGGCTTCATCCAAGTGCTCTGGTGTGTCTTTGCAGTCAGTTGGCTGTGGCATTGGATGCTTGGAGTGACAAAGGGCTTGCCTTTTGGGAGGATGGCATATCCTAAGGATTCTCGGTTTTCAGTTTGTGTTGGAGAAAATGTTGATACCAACAAGGTTGACAGAAATGAAGAACAGCAACAATAACATATGTATATTACATACAACATACAATTTGTTAATGTTGCTAAGGCTCTCATCAGTGGAAGGTCTGTGTGAGGCCAGTGAAGCATCAACAGCACACCGTGTTTGTCCAGACAACGGGCACTTGTACGTGAGAAGCTCTACTAGCCAATCGCCTTCATCATCACCCATGGCTTACAAAAAAGCTGCCATAGCCGGATCACAACACGCAAGGTGTATGGGAGATGTATTTCTTGATTAAATTTGTATATATTGCCTGGACCAACCAATTGGTTTCCACACAACTCAAAAAAGTGTCAACGAGTCAGGAGTCTGGTCTATGTTATACATCGATGTCATATATTATACGGTTCTTGGCGGGTGCTTCCCAAAACCCACTTTCTGACCCGCTAATGGCAATGGGACAAACAATCAATACTACATCTCACACTGCATTTGACAGCCGTGTCAAGGACAAGGCACTGCTGGCGAGACTCCTTGTACAGCGTTTCCAACTCGTCTTGGTGCCTGGGCGTTCAGCAAAATCAATGATGGTGGGCAGGAATGTTGTTTCATGTTTGGAACTGTATCTTCAACTAGAGCCTAGTTACTGACGCGAATATCCATCAACAATGCCATCCGTGTTGACCTGATTGATTTTGTCAATGATGCCCAAGATTGCAGCATCCACCTTGCCGGTTTTGTCCATGATCCTGAGATTGCAAAGATCAAGAATGTGACGCTGTTGGAAAATCTTCAAGGATATAAATATAATTATGGCCATGCAGGTATATATATATACATATATATATAGTAAATTCATTTATATACATTAGCCGTGACCCATGCAAACTGAATGAAGATGAGAAGCAC